CTAAAATGCGCGCACACACATACAGCGGAGAGTGAGAGACAAGCAACGCGGTTAAATGACAAAATAGAACAGTTTTGGTGACGGTGTTTGCATAGTTGGGTGCAACGAAAAGAAACAACACACATACATATATTCACACCGCATATAATATGCAGGCTAGCATTTCAGATTCGAAGCCAAAACGAAAAATTGCACAACTCTTTTTGTTTCAATTTGCCGTAGATTTTATTCCATTTTCATTTCGCACAACAAGCGACCGACACACATACACACAGACACACACCACTGAGGGGAAAAAAATGAAACATTTCAGCTGCACAAAAACACTTTGAACCTTGCGAAAAACGGTGAAAAAAAAGAACAAAACTAGCGGAACACTGAATAATGTCTCTGCTCCTCCCAACGTCACATACACACCACGAGGAAAAAATACCAACCACGGAATAAATGAGGAAATTCATCGTATATATGCTAAACATATATGCATACATACATATCGCTCTCTTTTCTCCGGATTTAATTGACAATTTCATTGGGTGGTGCTTTTTTGTGCACCGCATCTAATTTCTTTTGTTGAAATATTTTGCTTCCGAATTATCTCATATGAAAATAGTTTGCGACACAGTTCAAAATATTGCATACGAATCATCTCTCTGTTTCTCTCTGGTTCCTCTTTATTCGACCTGAGCTTATGTCCGATTTGTAGAACCATTAGCAATTACATTATTTTTGGGACTTCAAGCGACAAAAACCATCACTGAAATATGTTCGCTGTTAATTCAATTCATTTTTCAAGTGTACACAGTAAGTAGAGCGAAAAAATGGTTGGCTCTGGAATGAAGAAAGAAGATAGGAAGAAAAAAAAAAGCAAAAAGAATGCGAATGACTGGTTGCGTGAATGTATTTGAACAAATATTAGCGGCCATTAGCTCGGCTGTGTTTCTTTCTTTTCTCTATTGCGATTTGCTATTAGCATCTTGTGTCATCTAAAGTTGTGTACTTTCTTGATCTGTGAGCGTGCAAAAAGAAGCACGCAAATACTTAGCCATACCTCGAACACAATGGAAAAAAGCACGATTGACTAACAAGACAACGGGCTCAAATGAAGGCGAACGCAATACAACAAATAACAATATCAACAGCAACAGCAACAACACCACCATCACCACCAAACTAACGACAACACGATGAGGAAGAAAAAGAAAAAGAACCGCATCAAAAACTGAAATAGATACATAATTCAATAAAAGATGAAGCGCGCAATCGTTTCGTTTGAACATTTCGAATAAAGCCTAATACGCACAGAATAACAGCAACAGCAACAGCAACATAATATGCTCTTCTCACTCACAAAAGCCAATGCATCTAACGAATATGCGCTTCTTTGCACAGTTTTTTTTTCTTTCTGCCATCGTTATTATTCTTTTGTTTTTCGTTCATATTCTGATGTGTTGCTTAGGTTTTTAGTTGGGCTCTCTCTCTCTCTCTCTCTCTCTCTCTCTCTCTCGCTCGGTGTGTTTGCTGTTGTCGTCGTTTTTTTTTCTTCTCTTCTGTAACCTTTTTCTTTCTGTTGTATTTGGTCGACTTGCTTGCTCTCTGTCTCCCTCTCTCGCTCTCTGCAGCCAGAGTCAGTCGAGTGCACGTCGTCTTTTGTTTGCGCTTTTCGTTGATGTTCACACACAACTGAAGATCTCTTTTGCAAATGGACACATCGATTTAGAATGAATGCCGAACACACGATTCTCAGATTGGTTGAACGCTCTTACGTACGCTCGAGAATGGAACGGGTCAGTGTACGGGATGGCTTTGTGTAAATGCTAAATACGTGTGATAAAATATATTTATCTTTTCGTTTTCCGTGTATACGGCGTGTGCGAATGTATGGGTTCGATTTTATGTGCAATTATACACATAATACACGAAATTCATTTTGAAAAAAATGGAATGAGACGAGCGCTGTGCTGTGGCTGGCAGCAGCACAGCGCGTCAGCGGCGACGGCTTAAACACACATGTGCACCGATTTCGATGATTGTGTACCTTAATGTTCATGATTATTTAGGCATAGGTAGACACATATATGAATCGTCAACAACAACAACAACAGCAGCAGCAGCAGCAGCAGCAGCGAAAAAAAATATGCGAACGATACACGGTCGTAAGAATGGAAACTCATTCTCGGCGACATTAAAAACAAGCGTAACGACTTCAATCACAAGATGAAATGCATTTCATTTCCTTCTTACAAAATACGTGTTTTATACGTATGCGCCTTTCATCATTTTGATTACAATCGCCACTTTTCCGGCGTCGAATAAAACGTGAGACAGTGGAATAGGAAACAAAAACTAAATTATCTACACCTACACAAATAATTTCCACACCCCGAATGAAACAGTTTTTTTTTTCTATTCCATAAGAAATATTCACAAACGAAATGTACGATTTTTTTCTTCCTCAAAGCAATTCTTTCTAATTTTGTTTTTCTTCTTTAATTTTCAGAACCCCGAAACGCATAAAAAAGTAACTCCCCTCGTGAGCATGAGTTTTACGTAAATTACGGAGTGTTTAATGACAACGTACTTAAAACGAAACATTTTCGCTTCCATCACACACAAACAAACAAACAAACACGTACACAAAACCGTAACAGCAACAGCAAAACAACCACCACAAAACACAAATTGAAGTCATGATCTTTAACACAGACTTAATATGAAAATTGTGGAATTCATTGAGAATCGATTCCGTGTGATTTGTAGCAGAAAAATTGTGTAGGAATAATTTATACACACAAATCAAGTGAAGAATATGTTCAATGTTTGCATGTGAAATAGAAAGAAAGAAAACGAACGAACGAAAAAATAATATGGAGAAAAATGGCGAGTTAAACACTGGAAAATGTTATGTGCGTGTAAATCACACACGATACTTGTGATTATAATTTAACATCGAAAAAATAGTAGTAGTAGCAGCAGCAGCTACAGCAACATAATCGGCAACAGAACAAAGTGAAGCAGTGAAGAAAAAATATGGACACACGAGTTGTTTTTAATAATAATTTTATAAATTCACATTCTAACGGGAATAGATACAAATCGAAATATATAGCAAGTGTTGTAGGCAGCGCGCGCGCAAAGTGAATTTTGGTGTCTCTCTCTGTGAGTGTGAGTGTGTTGGTGTGTGCGCGCCAAGCTCAATTAAGTGCACACACACAGAATAAATTCAAATAGCATAAATAAAAAGAAGTTAAATAAAGTGGGTGAGAGAGTGAAAGAGAGAGAGAGAGAGAGAGAAAAAGAAAACAAATCAAAGTCGGTAGTGGATTTCGTTCTACCAATCAAATTTATCACACACATCGATCGATCATGGATAAGGAGAATGGAAGCGGTGGCGGTAGTAGTAAACATAAAAATAGTAGTAACAGTAGCCGACAACCAACGATCGATGTAAACGACCCAAGTTCATTATTAAATGCTGCTTCATTATTTGGTAAGTCATTTGTTGCATCTATTCCATTTCCATTTATTGCTGCCCCGCGCACAACATAAAAACAAAACAACGTACACACAACAAACACAAAACCACATCCAATTCGACATTAGTTCGAAATTATTCGATTATTATTAAATCACGGTGTGTGTATGTGATGCTAAAAACTTTTCCGACATTCAATCCGGTCGGAATCGAATGTAAAATTTGGTAAATTGGAATTCCAATTTCAGCATATATGGGAATTGTGTTTTTTTTTCATTCCATTTTTGTGTTGTTGTTTTACACATTAAACATATCATTTTCAATGCGAAACTATTTTCTATGTATCAATGGCGTAATGATTTTATGTTTAATGAAATAACAAATATTGTGATTTAGTTGACGCGTTGAAGATTTGAAACTAAAATCTATATTTTGGATGGATGTGTTTTGAATGTATATATGATTCAATACAACTTGTTACTTTCTCTATTGTGTAGCCTATTGGGGTCGTGATCCCTCGGCAGCTACCGCAAATCAGTTATTTGGAACACCGTTTGGAGCTGGCCTTGGCATGCTACCAACGGGAGCATCAAACGCAAATGACAGATTCGCAATGGGACATCAACAGCAACAGCAACAACAGGTAAATCATTCCCACAATCGATTCCCTCTCCTGATTCTCCATTGTTTTTGTGACTAATTTTTGGAAACAATCTCATTCGCCGGCATTGATATGATAATAATCATTTTGATTCTATTCCAATATAGGCACAACAACAGCAACAAAACGCAACAATGAATGCGGCTGCATCACAGGCAGCCAGTTTAGCTGGTTTGCATCCTGCAAGTTAGTATTTGAACAATTGTGAAATTTCCATTCTTTTTGAATTTGTCATTGGCAACAGTTTGTTTGATGTTTGATACAAACGTGTAAAATGTGTGTGTTTCTTTCTGTCCCTCTCTCTTTGTGTGCGTGTGTTTAGGTTGGTGGTCGATGGCACAATTAGCTGCACAAGACTATTTCACTCGACTCCAGGCATCTGGCCTATCGGCATTCCCGCATCCAGCCGATTTGGCAGCTGCATTTCCAGGTGGTTTACCCGGTATGGCGGGTGCAACGAATAATACCGGTTCGTCATCGTCGACCAATTCACGGCAAAACAATGGCGATTCAAAAGGCAAGGGTCGCAAAGAGAAGAAATCCAATAGCAACAACAATAGCACTGGACTCAATAGCAGTTCAATCAATAACAGCAGCAGTGGTGGTTTGAATTTAAATGCTGGCACATCAACATCATCACCATCATCATACAAGGTATGCATGCACATATCCACCGTTTGCATACATCAACAATTTGCTATATTTATGCAATTATAAACTAGTTAAATGCACTATTCAAACATTGTTATATCGTTACTCTTATCCCCAAAAATCTATGTACATAGTCATCATATAAATCGACATCGAATCAGTACAATTCGGCCGCTTTGCATAAGGAATTATTGGCAATGCAAGCTGCAGCCGTTGCTGCTGGAGGTTTGGGGTAAGTTCAAGTGATTTTTTTTTTGATTGATTGATTCGTTTATTTTTTCGTGTTTATTTCCATTTTCTCTTGTCGAACCAATTTATTTATTTATTCATACGAAACATGGTTTTTTTTTCTTCGATTTATTTTTTCCTGCAGTGGCCACAATTCGTCTTCATCATCGAAAAAATCGAGTCAAACAAATAGCAAACATTTAGCATCATCGTCGTCGGCGTCGTCAGCCGCTACAGCTGGTTTTCCACTGGGGTTTGGCGCTACTTCAATGCCAAACCATTCCACATCGTCCACCACATCATCTTCACATCATTCTAGTTTATCCAAAGAATCCACGCGATCAAATAATAATACTAGCAACAGTAATAGTGCCGCAACAGCCGCAACTCTTAATGCTCTCAATTCATTGTCACAGTTTGGTAGTTTAAGCTCATTGAGTTCACCGCAAAGTATGCAAGCAGCTATAAATGCGTTAGCCGCAAGTAAGTACAATACCACCGCCATCAATATCAACACCATAATCGAGAAGAAAAACACCAATACTCGCGAGCATTTAAATGTTATGTGAAATGACGCGCATGCTAAATCGCATTTTTATTCGCTTTTTTCAGCGAGCGGCGTAACCTCATCACCGTCCGGTTCATCGTCGAAAGGAAAAGATTATATGCCATCTGGAATTCTAAGGTAATTCATCATATTTTCCTTTAATTGTTTGCCCTCATTCTATCTAATATCGACTACGCAATTCTCTCTCTCTCTCTCTCTCTCTCTCTCTCTCTTTTCCAATTTGCATTGATTCGCATTCCGCACAAAATAGTGCTGCACTTGAAGGAACGTAAGTGCTCTTCATCTGTTCTCAGTTTAATACACAATATTCATTTCCATTTCCCATTTATCGAAACTTTTTAGTTTTGATTTTCGTTTAAAATTTCATTTTTTTATTTTTTTGCGATTCATGCGGCCTCCCTTTATTTACAACCACTCATCATTTTCAGTCGAATATATTTTTTTGGATGATGTGATTAAATTTAATGGATTTTTCTTTCTCCTCTGTTTTGCGATTGAAATGCGAAATTTACAGTGACCCATCGTCATTACTTGGAGTTCGTTTACCACCAGATACGGAAATTATTAAGTATACATCGTCAATTGTTGGCCCAAAAAATCCAGGTACAACCAATCGAGGTAGAAAGAAGACAATATCGCTTGATCCAAATCCACTTTTAGCAACTTTACAAGGATTGTCTAGCATCGGCGCTAGCCCAGCTAAACGGGCATGCCTTGAGGCCGAATACGTTGCAAGTTTAAATGCTGTGGCTCGACAACAATTACAACAACAACAACAGGTAGTATTTACATCATCACACTTGCCGCTTTAGTTTATCCGTTTTGTTTCCATAGTCATTGGGTTTTGATTGCAATATATATATTCACTTTTCCTAATCCGATTTCATTCAATAATTTCGCTTTCTCTCATTGTATGTGTGTGCGTTTGTAAATATTTATAGCAACAGCAACAGTCGCATCAAAATAACGATCGCGTTGAAGTGATCAAATTGCCTCCAACAATCACATCGAACGGTGCATATAATTTATCGAAATCAGGGACATCAAAAGACTCGTCGGCCGAATCGAATGAATGGGCTGGTGTAAATTTCAGTAGCAAAGTATCGAATGCGTCTAGCACTGATGAGGGTGACGCACCGCTAAATCTTTGTATGAAATCATCATCCGATTCATCATCGAAAACGGCCGACCTATCCACATCGAATACCGGTAACAGTTTACAAAGCCTCAGCTCAATCACAGCAGCGCTTGGCTCGGGTGGTGGAAACGATAGAATGCGTGAGTAATAGTTTGGTCGTTGTTCTCTCATTTATTTGTGAAATACATTCAAATCCAAACGCTCAATCATTTTGTCATAGAATGGAGGGAAATTTACGATTTCGGTTTGTTTTTTTTCTTTACCGTTTGGTTTCAGTAAATTACAAGGAGAGCCGGCCGAGAAACTTGGGTCGAGGTGTTTCAAAGCCGAAGAAAAATACGGTAGCATCACTGTTAGCACAAAGTCGAGCCGTTGGCTTGAAACCAATGCTATCCACACAACAGCTGCTTAGTCAAGGGGCTGATTTGGTAAGAATCTTTTGCGATTTCTATTTTATTACCTCGCCATTTTCGATCCTTTGAAGTGACTCTCTAAATAAATACCTCCGTTTGAATTACAGGAAAAAATTCGACAAGCGATAGCTGAAGCGAATTTAGCTATGGATGTATCGACTGATTCCGAAAGTGTGGCAGACACAAGTGGCTTGTCGGATTCGGATACCGAAGAACCATTGGCAAATCTCAGCGATTTGCGTGTTCCACTGGACAAAGGCTGGAAACGAGAAACCATCATACGTGGTCTCACCAAAAATGGTCAAATTCGTGGCGATGTATTTTATTATGCGCCCGGAAATACCACCAAACTAAAACATATTGGCCAAGTTCAAACGGTAAGTGGAAAATGAAAGCATTCTTAACCCGGAATTGATCGGAATAACGAATGAATTTTAACGCATATTACAGATTCTCGAACAGACACAATCCAAATTGAGTCGTGATAACTTTAGTTTTTCGGCGAAGGCAATTGTTGGCGCATTTCTGCAGCCGGCCCCAGCTCCATATGCCACCGATGGTGAATATATTCGTATGACTGATACTGAGGTGGCAAAGCGTCTTGAAGAATTGAAAATGTTCACACGGCAAACATTGAATGTGGAACAACGCATCGAAATCGCACGGCAACAGCAAGCGATTCGTGAAGCGAAAAAATTGGCCAAGGAAGAATTGGCAAAGAGCAAAGAAAAGGCTCGACATGCTCGTGAACTAGAAAAGAATGAACGACTCGAAGCACAACGAAAAGAACGTGAATTACGAAATCAACAAGCGGCCGAGGTAAAATACAAATTTCAAATCGAATGTCAATAAAATTTCTCTACATTTCTTCCGTTTTGCAAACGAACAAAGAAAAAAAAACAAGCAAATAAATTGTTCTGTGTTGATTTGTGCAGGCTCGACGAAAGAAGCAAGAAGAACTGGAGAAAGCGAAACAGGAAGAACTATTACGGAAACAACAGGTACACATCACCCATCATGACATTCTTATCGAAAAATCGACTTGAAAATTGCTTCAAATTTTCCATTATTGTTAAGAGAGAGAATATAGACACATACACACATTTCCAATAATTCTGATTTCAAATATCACCAAATAAGAATCAACTAACCGATTTCATGGCATTTTGCATTATTTTCTTGCAACTTTTGTAGGAAAAAGAAAGAAAGAGACAAGAAGCGATCCTTGCTAAAGAACAGGTTCATATAATGTGTTTACAAGCATTTTGTGTGATCATTTAGTTATTATTTCGCATTTTGTTTTTGGTTTTTTCTCCGTTGGTAAATTGCCCTATGTAGTGAATGCAACTAATTACTAGCATTCCATATGAGTTTTTGTTTTTTGGACGTGCTTAGAAAATTTACCTAATTGGCTTTCTTAGTTTAGTTTGATTTTGTGTTTTGACAAATTAAAAATTGGCATTTTCTTTAGTTCGGTTTTAACTGACAATCACATGCATTTATTTACAGGAACTTGCCAAGCAAAAGGAATTGATGTACAAAGTTGAAATGGTATGAATCCGGTGTCATACACACACACCACACCACCCTGTGTGACTTTTATATCACGATTGTGAAATCAAATAAGTATCATGTCTAACATGTTTTCTATTTGCTGTCAATTTAGGAACGAGAACGTCGACGACAACACCTTACACTCATCCAACAGCTGGACATTCGACGTCAGTTCGAAGAGCGTGAAAAGAAGAAACATCAAGTAAATTTCTGCCAATTCAAAATGACTTTTGATTCACCTATTTAACTTTGAATTCTAACAAAATATGACGTATATTCTACAGATGGTCTTGGATAAATTGATAATTCGTGATCGAAAATTGTCGGCGCGTAAACGTGATGCTGAAGTTCTGGCCGAACTACGGAAACCACAAGAAGACTCGGAAATTATTAACCAAAAGGAATTCCCAGCATTGGAACGATTGCCAGGATTGAAATTAACCGGAAAAGCCTTGGCCGATTTACTAATGGTCTTCGAATTTTTGCACAACTTTGGCGAAACTCTTGGATTCGGTAAGTGTATCGTTTTTTTTTTTCTTCTTTCTCTTGAACAATTTTCTTCAGAAGTGGATTGGGACTCTTAATCGATGTTCGTTTTCATTACAGATATGGAATCGTTGCCTTCATTACAAAGTTTGCATCAGGCATTGACCAGCGAAGATGCACTCGAAGCAGAAGAGGAGTTGTTGTCCATTATTTCACACTTATTGGTGTGTGCAATTGAAGATCCAGGCGTACCGAATCCCGTTCGACACACAACACTGTTGGGTCAATCGCTTCGAACGGCCGACATTACCAATTCGAATATTTCCGAAATTTTACGAATTTACCTGTATGCGGTGGCAACGGGAGAGGTGCGAACACTGAACGGTGTCACGTTGGATCGAGAGCGTGAACGTCGTGTGGCCGATCATCATCAGCTCGATTCCGAGCAAATGCTGACGTCGGGCAAGAATCAAGCCTACTACGAAGCATTGCAAAATAATCAAACGTGGAAATTGTCAGAATGTTTGAAAGACAAACCGTTTGTATCACTCAATCCAACCGTAAAAACCGAGATCTTAGCACATCTGTGCAATGATTTGCTGATGAACAAAGCGGTCGTACGACAAATTGAAAATAGTTTGGAATCGGTGGCGCAGCACAAACGTGATCGTTATGCCATCGAAAATCGTGTACGAAAATACAAGCATTTACATGCACGCAAAGTGCGAATGGAACAATTTGAGAAGCAGCAACAAATTGCGCGGGAAATCCAAGCACGGCAATTGGCACAAGCTCAAGCCGCCGCAGCGTCCCAATGCACGCCGAACACATCGAATGCTGAACAAATGGCAGACGGTGATTGTGAAATTGTAAAAACCCCAAACACAACCGACAATAACAATGAAAGTGTCGAGAAAATGGACACAAATCTCATAAAAACGCCATCGAATCTGACGAATGCATCGAGTGTGGACAATTTGACGGACGTTTCAGAATTGAACAATCACAAAGATGATTCGATGCAAAGCACCGATGTTATGATGAAAACGGCCGACGATAGTGGTGAGACCAAAGCAAAATTGGACGATTCCAAATCGGTGACTGGGAAATTGGATGCGATAACACCAAGTGCCGATGCGAGTCGATCGCTAAACAACGGCGCTACAACACCTGATATTAGCAATTTGTTGAATAAGAAAATAAATAGTCGTGATGTGACGGCCGATGGATCAACCACCGATGGCAATTTAGATGAAGAAATTAGTGATATTGAAAGCGAAGGTACGATTATGGAAGAGGACGAAGACTCACGCATGACCGCCGATGAAGTGCACAAGAAACTGGAGAAAATCGTTAAATCGGCCAATCAAAACCGAACACTTATCGAACAAAGTAGCAATTCACTACGGGCTACCTGCTATGGTCAAGATCGTTTCTGGCGAAGATATTGGCATCTACCGAGAGCCGGTGGCGTTTTTGTCGAAGGTCTCGAATCTGCTCAACCGGAACTGCTTAAATACATGGGCAAAATGGAAGAATTGTACAAAACATTCGAAGCGACACAAACGAAAATGAATGCAAACGATATCGAAAATAAGAGACGTGGTAAGAAGAGAAAACTATCGCTGACCGATGAACCGGATTCAATGCCCGCACCAAAAAGTATTGATTCGGAAATTCGAACGATTAGCGATTCGTCAAATGATTCCAGTAAAGTGAAACAGTCCGAAGATGAACCAGAGGCTAGAATTGTTGACAATGAAGTGGAACCAACGAAAATGGAAGAAGACAGTCCACCAAAGGCGACTGACAATGGATGCGAAACAGCGGACGAAGTGACCGAAAACTGTACCGAAAATGCGAAGGCAACGAATGCAGAGAAACAAGATGCGGATATGTTGGACATTGAGGATTCCATTCCAAAGGCAATCTTGGTGCAAAAGGCCAACGAAACGGATAAAACCGTTGGCACTGACATATCGACACCGACGGAAGCAGCGACGACGGACGCGCATCTAAATAATCACAGCGATGAAATTGTGGGCGAAAAAGCTTCCGAGGATGCTACAATCACGCACAATGCAGACTGTGATAATTCCAAACGAAATGCGGAAAATGGCAATGCCATTGCCAGTGTGGACATTTCCGAGCAAAAACCCGTAATTCCAATCATTGATCTCGATGCGAATGAAAATGTATCCGATGATGTGATGATGACGGCGGCGGTGGCAGCAGCAGCCGTAGCAGCAGCAGCCGTAGCAGCAGCAGCCAATGCAGATGATGCACAAATCAAAACCGAGCCAATCGATGGCATCGCGCCCCAAATCAAAATGGAAATGGAAATGGAAATCAAAAACGAATACACCGAAGAAGAAGTGATGAAACGCGAAGAGCCCGAAATACTGGAGAAATGGTTTTCGATTGCGAATCGCGAGATTCAATTGAGCTCAATCGAAACAACGATTCCGCTGTCAGCGCAAGCGGAATACTCGAACATCACGTGTGAAATGATCTTGTCGTGCCAGGGCAATCGATGGGACATTGGTAATAATGCCTACTATTTTCATGTGCCCGTCGAAAGTTCAACCAATTTACAGATCAATCGAGATTCGGTGCTTACGCAATCGGGCATCGATGATAAACTGATGGATAAAGTGTTGAACGGTGAATATACGATTCCCTTGAAAAATGAACCCGTCGAACCGGAGCCCATCACTGAAGACACGGACGATGATGAGAAGAAATGCGTTGAATTCATGAAACTGGAACCAGAGACGCAGCCATTTCAGTTGCCATCATTTCTGAACACATCATTTGCCAATCTCAGCGCATTTGTACAATGTGATAACACTTGCCCGCTGCAAATGACACCCGACGAACAGAAAATGCTGGAAGAGGTCAAAGTGAACGGTTTTCCAAAACGTCTCGAAGGAAACTTTGTCACAAAGGAACTGTGCCACGGATGGTGGAAAATCAACGATTCCGACACGCTAAACGATGTCATTCAATGTTTGCACGTGAAAGGTGTTCGTGAACGTGAATTGCGCATCAATTTGTTGACATCATTAACGGAAAATATTGATCTGTCGACACCATGCCATGTGGCCAATTTACGATCACCACCGCCGGTCAAAGGTTATATCGATCCCGAACCGATGATCGCATGGAATCCACAAATTGCACGACGCGTCGAATTGTCACTGCTCGATCAAGTTGAATCGTTAGAGGATAAAATCGCCGGCGCTTCAATGCAAGTCAAAGGCTGGACAGCACCTGCTCGTGATCCAGAGAGTGAAAATGAACTCGATCTCATCACCGGCATCACAATGATTCGTGACCGTATTTTGAGTCTTGAAGCAGCTATTGAACGACGATACTTGAAACCACCGCTTGGCACCAGTACGGCTGATGCAAACATTGCCGCTATCACAACACAAAGCGTGACTTTGTCTAGTACACGCGAAATTACAACGACCATTCAGACAACGGGCACCACAACAACCGTCATTAGCTCGAGCAGTGCTGCCGCACAGAACAACAATGATGATCAAAATTCAAGCTCCGGCTCTGTGGCCACCACTCCCGAACGAGAGGTTCTACCAAAGGGTAAGAATATTCTGAAACGACCATTGTCATTCATTATTTCGAAATGGAAACATATTAAATTGGTTTGTGGCTTTCTTTTTCTCTAGGTTTGAATTCATGGCGTGAAGCTGTTTCCCGTTCACACACAGCCGCCCAATTGGCAATGGCACTTTACGTATTGGAATCGTGCGTGGCCTGGGACAAAAGCATCATGAAAGCCGTAAGTTTCGAATCAATCGTTTACATTTACTCATTTCAAATTCAGCATATCATAAACAAACAGAAAATGATAAAATAATACCATCACAAGTCAAACGCAATTTCATTTTGATCGTCTAATTTGCGTAGTTCTTGTTTGTTATGTACATTTGGTTGAAATAAATTTTTATCCTTTTTGGAAACAACAACGACAGCCAAAAACAAAAAAAAAACATTTAAATTCACTTTAAATTTTAATACTAATTTTATTTACTTTATTTAATTACTAACACGTTCGTTTTTTTTCTTTCCTTCTTTATATGTATATAATTTTGTTAACTTCTTCCAAACAAACAAAACACAAAAACAAAATCTAAACAAAAACGAAAACAAAAACAAACAAAAAAATGAAACTGAATTGTGATCGGTATATTAGGCCAATATGAATGGGTCTAATCAAACAGAACGTTACTTACAGAATTGCCAGTTTTGTTCGTCCGGCGAAAATGAAGATAAATTGTTGCTGTGTGACGGATGCGACAAAGGCTATCACACATATTGTTTTAAACCGAAAATGGTGAACATTCCCGATGGCGATTGGTATGGATTTTTTTTCCTTTCTCTTTCTCTCTCTCTCTTTCTTCCGTATTTTCTGTTCTGAAATGAAATCACATTGAATATCTGGCACGTGACCGAAATAATTGAATCATGATTGATTTTCTCTAGGTATTGCTATGAATGTGTGAATAAAGCAACGAACGAGCGAAAATGTATTGTATGCGGTGGCCATCGTCCACCACCCGTTGGAAAGATGGTTTACTGTGAATTGTGTCCGCGTGCATACCATCACGATTGCTATATACCGCCATTGATAAAAGTTCCAAGAGGAAAATGGTATTGCCATGGTTGCGCATCAAAAGCACCGCCACCAAAACGTCGTGGCCCATCGAAAAAGGCCAAGGAAAAGGATTCCAAAGATAAAGATTCAAAAGATGGCAAAGATCCGTCGAAAGAACCAAAGGAATCGAATAATAAAAAAGAGAAAAAATCGAATGAAGCGCATCGAGAAAACTCAAATTCGAATAGCGCATCCGAAACAAATTCCGTTGATCAATCAATGCACAATTCAAATGTACCTGCTGCCACATCGAAAACCATTGAAACATCGCAGTCGAGGTATGTATCTCGAATAAGTGATCGAAATCTGGCCGAAATTTAGAAAAAAAAAACACACACAAACACTAAAAAACAAACAAAAACACTAAAAACTAATCAAAAATAGAAATCAAAAAAAAAAAACAAAAGAAAAAAATCAAAAACCCATCCCACACACACAAACACACACAACACAAAAAATATGATTCTTGATTGATATCCCCACGAATCGATTCTAGTCCAAAAAGTTCAGCAGCAGCTTCCACATCATTCGATGATCAAATTCAATCAGAAACAATGAATAGCACTGAAAATGCCGTTTTTGACAATTCCATGAACGATTCACAACAAGCTCATGATTCATCCACACAAATTGCATCGCCGGATCGAACATCCACACCGGCACCGAGCATTGAATCAAACGATCAAAATCATTGCATGAATGAGCTACGACCGCCACCAACACCATCACCCGGATGCGAAAAATCACCATCATGGGAGCAACAACAACAAACCAATACCAACTCCAATTCAGCCGATAACGATGCAATCGATTCAGAGGTAAGTGCGACCAATGCAACTTTGCACACACACACACTCAATTGCCCGATTAGAATTGATTAGAATTTATTTCGTTTTTAATTTTGCTCAACAACAACAACAAACAAAAATACAGAAAAATTTCAACGAATCCGCAGTTCGATCGAATGAAGGCGGCAAAGACAAACATCACAAGGACAAAAAAGATCGCAGCGCTGCAAAGAAGCTCATAAAAGAACTGTCATCGTGCAAAACTATGTTAGAAGAGATGGAGGTAAGTAGGCGATAAAGTAATGCCAAGCGCACCTGTGCCAATGGCAAATATTGAACATGTTTCCCTCCGATTTTGCTTTACAGTTGCATGAAGAGTCCTGGCCATTTTTATTGCCTGTCAATACGAAACAGTTTCCAACTTATCGAAAAATCATTAAGCATCCCATGGACTTGTCAACAATCAAAAAGCGCATCCAAGATTTGCAGTAAGTTATTCGATCAATTGTTTGCTCTATTGTAATTTTCCACAAAGAAAAGGAAAATTCATGATTTCTCCTTGTTGCAGATACAAATCACGCGACGATTTTATCGCCGATGTTCGTTTGATATTTGATAATTGTGAGATGTTCAACGAGGACGACTCACCGGTGGGCAAAGCAGGACACTCGCTTCGTAAATTTTTCGAAGCTCGATGGGTTGATCTAACCGACAAACATTCATGATATCATTTATTTCAAACCAAATTTCCAAACAACAACTAGCCGTTAAACACAATTTTCTCATAAAATGCCCGCATTGCATGCCGTGCAAAATTAAAATGCACTGCAAACGAAGAGAGATTCTTTGAACCGACTTGACACAATTCCGATTAAATGGACAAAAAATTGCATGATGAAAAAATTTTCTATGTAAAATGTGAATAAATATGTATTATTGATATAAATTATTATAATTTTTTTGTTGCATACAACGTTTTTTTTTGTGTCGAAATCGAACGAAGAGTATACAAAATTGTACTTAAAGCCATTTCGGAGTAGAGAACTAAAAGGGAAATCTATAAAATAATTTATACAAAAAAAATAAATAAATCCAAACGCAATGATAAATCAAGTGACTGGATCTGAACTTGCCTGGTGTTATCATTGTGTTAACTAAACTACTTAAGACAAATAAAAGTTTAAAACAAAAGATACAAAAAAAAAACAAATTTTGAACAAATTACATTCTTCAAAGCAACACTAAATGTGTTGCATACTCAATTATCATTTTCATCGTTCCAAGCAACTAATTGTTTTGACAGCTGTAATGTGAATTTATTTTGTGTTCAAATGTTGATGAAGAAAGAAACAACGCTAACAAACCCGGTTCAGTTTAAGTTAGAATTTATTTTGTGAATTATTGATTTAATGTGACCGATTTGATATGGACAAAGCAGCTAAACTAAAAGAATTATATATAAATATGGTATAGACAGTCAGCAGCTCTAAAACAAAACGAGATAAAAAAAACTCACAATTACAGAAAAAAAAATGTCTTGAGACACAATTAACGATATGACAGTATTATTCCGCAAAAGAAAAGTTATAACGATGCAGAGTAGATGTAAAAATCGATCTGTTTATACGACCTTACTCTATATATATATATATAGGGATTATGTTGAAATGTGTGCAGACTCACGGTGCACACACATAAATATATATATATGATTCGACGAAATCGATGTGATTAGTCGATGTCATTTCGTCACCTCCCCCGTAGCAGTATTTTCACCAAATGTGGAAATACACGAAAACGATTGAGAAAACGAAATGAACATTTTTTTTTTGTCTTTTAGTTTATTCAGTTTCGTCATGTGACACTTTGGTACCGTGACCGATGAGTACAGGGTTTTATTTTTGCAGCTTAATTTATAGAAATGAAAATGAGAAGAAAAAAACACACGCAGAAGATGAAAATGAAATTAAACAAAAAAATATTAAGAAAAATGAAATCGAAATTCAATGAAAAAAAAATCAATCAAATATTTTCGCCTCGAATAAAAATGAGGGGCAGAAAAATAGAAAAGGATCCAAGTGCGAGGTTTATGTTGGGCTTATGGAATTATTTAGACATAATGGCGCCTCTCTCCTTTATTCCAAAATGAATGTCATGCACAATATTTCAGAAAAATTACAAACAAAATTATGTATGAGGTGTTAATGTGTGGCCATCTGCCTCCACCACACGCCATGCATAGGTTATATTTTCAACAAAAAAAAACATGATTATTTAGTGATTTAGATTTCATGCATAGGCTCAAACACATATATATGTAGTATACTAAATAAAAAAAACAACAACAAACAAACAAATCATATAATTATAGTAATATTTTTATTTTAGTAACAAAAAAAAATCACACACACACAAATCATATTAACTGCCTAATGTTAATGACGAACAAAAAAAAATTGATTATGATGAGATCGCGCAGGCGAAAACTAACTGAAACACACACAAGTACACATATGCAGTAAACAGAGAAGAAGAAAAAAAAACAATTGTAGAGAGAAAATAAAATTTAAAAAAAAAAACAATTCTTAATAAACTAGATACGGTAGATGAAAAATACGTTTCTATGACACCCTAGATTAAATGGCTTTTTTTTGTATATATCAACCAATAAACTGAACGATTATGTTTTTTTCTTCTTCTTGCTTTCTTTCTTCGAGAAGAAAGAAGAGAGTGAAAGAAAAATTAATAACAAAATAAACACTAATTGAAAAATTGAAAAATACTTTTACTTTTATAATATTTACCAAAATGGAAAGAAAGCATCATATTATCACTTGAATCAGGATTTGCAGTTTTTTTTTTGGTTATTGTTGGTGGAATGAGTAGTATGTTTAACCCGATTATTTAAAAGAACAGCTCCCATTCTCACCACAATATTTAATTTGTGTAAATATTATTTTTCTTTCTTTGCTAATCAGAGAAGAAAAAAAAACTGCATTTTTTTGTGAAAGTCTTCGAAACAAACGAAAAAAAACCACAAAATGGAGAGAGAGAGAGAGAGAGAGAGAGAGAGAGAGAGAGAGAGAGAGAAAAGCAATTCTTAAATAAATCAATACAATGCTTGTATTTATTTTTGTACAGTAACCAATTAAGTGAAGAGAACAGACGACGCATGATGCGAATCTGACGCATTGCGAGGATTCAAGCGAGGATGAACCTTATAACGGCTGCATATGCTACGATATTATTGTCCCATTTCAAAATTATTCTCAAACGTTGGTACACACAACAAATTGATTTCAATAATGTTCCAAAATATTGGATTCGTTTACTCAAACATGTATAGAAGAGGAAAAAGAAAACTATATAAAAATGAGAACTGCCATAACCCAAATTTAAATGCTTAAAAACAAACAAGCACGACATGAATAGTTTTTTTTTAGAAGCCGAATGACGTTATAAAACGGCGAAAATTATTAAACAATCCATGTTATTACATATTCAACGGCACTGAAGAGATAGAGAAGATAACGAAAAATATGGAGAACGAAAAGAGAGATTTAAAAAAAACACACAAAATAAGTCAATGTTTATTAAATTTAGAGAAACAAAACAACAATGATAACAATAATATATCGTGCTATAAATAATCGAGACAAACAAACAAAACAACTAATATATCAAGAAATAACTAATTGAGAGAAGAATATCGTTTTAGAATGAAAGCGTTTTAGCTAAAAAAATCCGATATGGTGCGGGTTTTTCTCTTAATGGATGAGAGGTAAAAAAAGGGTCAATCACCGTCCCTAGAACACCGTTTTTTTTTCTATATAGACACACAGATCTTTCAAATTCATCCACATGGTGTGTTCATGCGCATACCATTGTCCCAGCCGGTCGACATTCATTCACCACACATGATAATGAATCTACTTCCTGCTCATCTCGAATATTTTTCAGTATTTATTTTTGAATTTTTTTTTTCTTCTATTAAATAGTTTTTCGGTTCGTTTTTTTATATAAGGTAAAAATCAAACCAATCTGGTCCTGATATTGTGGCCTGCTAAAATGAATATTTATTGAATGAATAAAGATGTGAAGAAAAAAACACTACCGACGATAAAAATGAGCCACTTAATTACATATTTGGCTTGTTCGAATTTCCACTAAAAAAATGAACACCGTGACAGAAAATTTCAACTAACTCTAACTAACTGTTGACTAAAAGAATAAATTATATTAAAACAAAGCAAAATCGAAAACAAAATATGAAACATGAACTCCTCTCGATGGGAATTCCGTAGTAAACAATAGTAACAAATTGGCGGAAATTGCATTGCGATTGCAATCACTTAAATCCAACTTAAATTAAATAAGTGACGAAAAAAAACCACAACACACAAATGAAGAATAACAATTGTAAATCACTTATCAATTTATGTAAGGAATAATAAATGGATAAAAATGAACTATATTTTGCTTTGATGTTTATTATTTCGCAATGCAAACTTCACATTGTATGGACATATACCGGGAGTATGGGAGAAAGAAAGGTAAGGGAATCCAGGCTGATGATTCAAAAAAGATAAGCATATCAATAAATACAACTGTGTGTAGTGTGGTTCAAGTGTCGATTTTTGTATGGAAACAAAATTCCGTAAGATGGCAGCATGCACACCAAATGTCCACTCCAACATGTCATAAGTCCAAAAATAACAAAGACTCACTAAGAGGTTATACATCCGTGCGATAGCAATATATCGATGGAGCAATAGAATATAGGTACCTTAGAACAACAAAGGACTTGTAAATAGTTGTCTCTATGACTCACTTCAACGAGTTGACAAAAAATTTCTTCTAACTACGTTTCATTTCTTTTTTTTTAGGAATATTGGATATTTGACAGTGTGGAACTATGGCCGATTCCTTGCAAGATGAACACTTTGATTTATATCAGGAGATTGCCCGATCGGCATTTGCCGATATGTTGCATGACCACGAACGGAATGAAAAGTATTTTTATGCATTGAAAAAGGCCATCGATAAGATGCACGAACGAAATTTGCCGGCGCATGTTTTGGACATCGGCACCGGTACCGGGCTTCTATCAATGATGGCTGTCAAATGTGGTGCCGATTCGGTAATTGCCTGCGAAGCATTCCGGCCCATGGCCGATTGTGCGGAGAAAATTATCGAAAGCAATGGCATGGCCGGACAAATACAATTGATTAAAAGACGTTCCACTGATATTTTCGAAAAAGATTTGCCGCAACGAGCCAACATTTTAGTTACCGAAGTATTTGACACCGAATTGATTGGTGAAGGTGCGATTGAAACATTCAATCATGCTCATTTGCATTTGTTGGACACAGATTGCATCGTTGTGCCAGATTCAGCGAAAATTTTTGTGCAAGTGGTCGAATCACCGTTGGCTTGGGCATGGAATATGCCAAAATTAATCGCAGATCTTGATGGAGATGTCTTAGTTCGAACACCGTGCGAGGTTGGTTCAAATCTCAATTTTTGACTGTTCGGTTTTGGTTATTGCTTCAAAAATCCATTTCATTTTCATTTAAAATATGCTAAATCCATTTCTTTGGTTCACTTTCAGATCACCGATTGCAAAGGCATCTCCGAGCTGCACGATATCCAGCTGAATCAGTTTCCGGTTCATCAATTCCGTGAAGTTGCCGAACCAGCGGCTGTATTTGAATTTGATTGGTCTGGGAAAAGTGTCATTTCGAAGAATGAATTCCGCAAAGTGACTATCAAAGCCAAGCAAAATGGTACGGCACAAGTGTTCTTCATGTGGTGGGTGTTGAAAATGGACCAAGATGGCGAAATCCGTATTAGCTGTGCACCGCATTGGGCTCACGAAGATTTTTACGACTTGAAAAACGAGCGTCCACAATTCCAACCCGAGCAAAATGTCATTCCGTGGCGTGATCATTGGATGCAAGCCATTTACTATGCACCAAAACCAGTGCAAATCGGTGTCGATGAAGAATTACTCTTGAAATGCAATCGTGATGAATTCTCATTGTGGTTTGATCTCACTCGAGCCGGCAGCGAAGATGATAATACTCAAGAAAGTGTCCGAGATCGCCCAATGTGCACGTGTGGCTTCCATTTGGCGCTATCTCGAACCCGTATCGGACAAATGAACCATAGTTTACGATTGAAAAAATTCCAAAAGATCTTTAATAAGGCGCTTGATCAAAATTCAACCGTTTTATTCATCAGCGAAGGCTCATTACTCGGTCTAATGATTGCTGCACTCAAAGTGAAACATGTGTATGTTTTGGATTCCAACAAGTATACGCGTCGTGTGCTTGAAAAGTACATTGACTTCAATCGCTTCAGCAACATCACACTCTTGGAAGACGTGAATGAATCGAATGTTGATTGGCCCACAATTACGCACATCATTGGTGAGCCCAGCTTTATAACATCGATTCTGCCATGGGATAATTTCTATTTTGGCGAAATTGTGAACAAAGTCAAGGGTTTTTGCAATGAAAGTGTTCAAATTCTACCTCATACTGCTACTATTCGCGCCGTTCCAGTGGAATTTCTGGATTTACACAAAATATTTGCTCCGTTCGATGTTTGTGAATCGTTCGACTTGACGCTATTTGATCGAGTCATTGAGGTGAGTGTACTGAATCGTTCAGCGGTTGTTTAAGCTTTATGGTTTGATTCATGATAAAAATCAAATGAATAAAAAATGGCAACGACCAAAGAATACTAAAATAATGATTTGCATTCTAGGAATCGTCCGAATTTGCTGATGACATTGTTGAAGCTCAACCGCTGTGGGAATATCCAAGCATAGCATTAGGAATGGCAAAATCGGTATTTTCCATTGACTTTGCCACATCGTCAACCAGTTCTGAACACAATGAACTAGAAATTAGAACGTGAGTATTTAAACCAGTTTAGGTAAAATATTAGCTTAATATCTGGGTTGGATTATTTTTTCAGTGCCGGTTCATGCAATGGGATTGCATTTTGGACGGAATTCAATTTTCTGAGTACGCAAACGACGATCATAAGCACCGGTCCATTAAACGACATGGCACTAAATAATTTCATCGATTGGGACATGTACACACGGCAAGGTGTACATCTATTCTGGAAGCCAATTGCATCCAATAACGACGAAGTAACAACCATCCCATGTCGCGTCCAACGCAGCGACGACAATGCCATTTATTTCAACTTTGTATAATTCCACACGACAATTTCATGTCAAATATTTCGCACCATTAGCTGTAAATTATTGTCTTTTTTTCATGTTTGACTTTTTTTTAATCGTCGAAAGTCGACTCAACCATTTTAGTCGGTAGGCATGAAAACGAAAAATTAAAACATTCATATTTGATGAAGTGCTGCTTAAAGCATTTCAGAGTACTGTTACTTTTTCTTAAAATGCAAAGTATTTTTCCTTTATTTTCATAGCAAATGACCATTTCAAATGAAATGAAAAACAGCAACAAAAAATTTCTCCAAACTACATTCTTGAAATGGAAGCGCTAACGAAGGGAAATAAATAAATAAAATGTTTAGCCAAAATAAAATGTTGTTTTTGTTTTGCCGAGCAATAAATTTGCCTATAAATACGACACGGTTAAATTGAAACGAGAGTGAAGAGAAGTGAAGAGAAGTAAAAGACACACACAAAAACTGGTTTTTATGACCAGAGAGTCGTTTAAATGTTGCGACTTTGTACACAGCAGCCGCAATACATTTGATGCTTGCGGTTGAAATATATGTACTCGATCTCGCATGTGCGACAAGAGGCGCGCGCGTCTCAATATGATTCACTCGAGAATATATAGAAATGTTTAGAAGAGGCTGGTGTGTATTGATGTATATATATGGAATCGTCGGTCGCTTATTTTCCATGGAGCAAAATAAAAAGGCCTATGATGCCAGATAAAAAGTGAAATTGATCGTGGATTTTAGCACAACGCTTTAGAAAGAAAAAAAATAGCGGGTTTTCTCACATACGATAATGCGCGAAATAAAAATAAATTACGATGTCGACGACAACAATTTGAGAAAAACAACAACAACAACAACAGAAGAATGACAGTGTGTTATGAGCATAAAGTGTGCGGTCGCACCGATGTTCACTACGAAACAGCCTTTGCTCAAACGATTTTTCAAGCGTATTTCCACTTTCCTCCGATGTTGATTGTCGTGTGATCGTTTCGGCCAAGTCGTGATAGTACAATGGTCAAAGCTCACTCACAATACTGGTTATACTCGCTTTTAATCCCTCTTCATGCTCTACCGAGTGGCTTGATCGTGATGCTGCTTTCTTACACAATGGCGCTTCATTCAATTTCACCATCACTCCTTTTCCTCTTTTCCCAGCTAAGCAGCGAATTTGAATTTTCAAGATCATTGCTTTTGCCGCGCATAATTGCACTGCAAACCAAACGGTATAATCAGTGAGTGAGTGCGGGCATTAGATGAGACTATCGTGTTTTCCGCTGTAATTGCATCTTATCGTAACGTATCGTATCGTATCGTATCGTACGCGCATCTACTTTGCAAATCACCTTTTGATGTCACGATAATTATTGACAGACAAATTGTGGGCTTCGAAAGTAATCAATAAATATGCCCAATGGTAAATTACTTGATTTACATTGATTGATTGGCTGGCTGGTTTGCTTGCTTGTGCGAACGAAACCGATGATAAGGCGAAAATTGCGATAATAAAGGGCGAAGAAAGTGCACATAGCACAAGGCCGATAATAACCGACACCGACCAAACGAACGAACGGAAGAGTGTTTCAAACGAGTGTTCCAAAACGTGAATAGTTCAATCATAGTGTGTGGTGATTAATTTGTAACTATGCTCATTAACATTGTCATAATTTACCTGTTCCATTCAACATCAGCCCTCTTTCATCATCACAAAGCGCTGCCACACACGAGAGTATGTATGGAAAATCCGTTAAATTACAAGTGCTTATCGTTTATAAGTGGCTAATCAGAAAGGAAAAGAAATGGAAACTAAAATCAAAAGTGTGCGTGTTTATTAAATGATGATTTAATTTCTTTGTAGATTCATGTGTGTCTAACGCCACCGAATACATTGCTAAAGGTGCAAAAGCATATAATTGAGTGTCAGCACGAGGTAAAATCCAATATTTTCAACGAAGCGTTTAGTTTGATAAACGATCACGCTTTTCATCATCCGGACGATCATACGTCGATTCATCTGTCCGGTCACGATGACTTTGCGCATCGGAATTTTACACTAACCGAACAGGAGATTCTGACATTTTTTGAAAATCATGGACATCCCAGCCACGGAACCCATGGAACCCATGGAGCGGCGGGTCAAATGACTTTCGGTAGTGGACCGCTCGGCTCGTCGATCGATTTATCACATGAACATGACTCAGATGAGCATGAACAACCGATTCATACCGATTCAGATCAACCTATTCATGATAACCCTATTCATGATCACCCTATTCATGATCTACCGGCTCACGATCCAATTGTACATCATCCAAATCCACATCCTTACGGTTGGCAACATCCATATCCAATCGAAAGCTTTTATAAGAAAACGGATGCCGTTCAATTGAATAACAATCCCGAAGAAGTGCAACGCTTGACACGAACCCCAACAGCCAAAAATCCATACACATATTTCAATCCAAAAACCGGCGAACCCGTGAAAATAGGTGCTGATCGACCACGTCGATCCGTGCATGAGCTCGAGATTCATGCCGAAACACACACGGATGAAATACATCCGACGACAGCATCATTCAAAGATAAACGTATCGCTGGAGTATGTGGCTTTGAACTTTAACTAGTGGACTTTAAACATTTCATTTTCTAACTAAATTTTGTGCTCTTTCTCTTCTCTGTCTCTCATTAAAATAATGACACTTTAAATGATGAAATTCTTGTTTGTTCATTCATTTGTGTAGTGCTTGATGCATTGCTTATATGAAAAAAATCATGCTATCGACCCACATACCGGTTACCCAACCTTAGATGGTCTAGTAAACTTCTATTCGGATGGTGTGCACGAGCACGGATTTTTCATGACAACATTGCGGGCCGTTGACTTTTGCTTGAAAGGCGCTTCCCATAAATACCACATAAATCGTCATGTTAAGCCAAGTAATTTGATGGAATTTTGAATTCAATTTTTTTCCCTCCAAAGAAACACTAAATTTAATTGAATACTCACACATCATTGCCAAATCATTTCTGTATTTGTTTTATAGGTGCGGGTGTTAGTTGCGACCTGGCATTTGATATTTTTGATTGTGTTAGCGATCAAATAACCAGCTATTGTAGTAAACATCATTTTCATGGTGATCATTTTGTAAAAGGACACCACCTATCATCGGCGCCGCTGCATTCACACGAGCATGTCATCGATCCACATTATCCGTCGCATCATCATGGGCATATTGACGATGAATACCGCTACGATGATTCATACTATTACAACTAGAAGAGAACAACAATGAAGACAAATCGCAGATTTTTTTTCGTTCAGTTTTGTTTTTACTTAGATCATTTAATTTATTTTATTCAAGTATTTTGTTGTTTGTTTTTCTTGGTTTTTCCTTCAAATAAAATTGCATATAAATTTATATTTGGAAGGGAAAAATAAAGAGAATTACCATTCCATTTAAAAAAAAGAAAACATGATATAAAAAAAACACGAGAAAAACAAATCAATGTTTTGTATTCAATTCATGTCTTAATTTGTAGATAAGTTGTATAAAAAATGAATACATTTTTAATTTCAATTTGATTTTTTTTTTCGTTTCGATTTTTCTCTCTTTATTTTTTTTTTATTAGGAATATTTCATTTTCACTTATAAAGAACAACGAAAAAAAAAACCGAAAAAAAATCTGCACATGATGAAAATTCATTTCCAATTTTTTCGAAAGAAAAGAAAAATCTCCCATTCGCTACTGCTGCTTGCCGAATCAGCACCGACAAAATGTATCTGGTCATACTTAAAGCTAAACAAATATGGCATCATTATTATAATATATCAATCTATTATAATAAGAATGATTACAGAAGTTTGACATGCAAACCACGATTCTCAGTAACCAATTTGTTGTTTCATTGAACCAAAAAAAAAAAATTGAACAGAAAAAATGGCTTGCACGCAAAATATGCACACGAACACACACATGTACGTAGACATGACAATCATCATAGTTGGTTGTGTCCGAGGTCAAGAAATTCACGAAATGGCCTGTAAACAACATGAAATGGACTGTGCGCCAAACAACGACGATGACACTGTTGATGATGATTGAATTCGGGATGATGCACACACAAATCTCTTTCTCTAGCTCGCTCTATTTTATCAATTTACCGTTATCGCTTCCTTTTTAGCCCTGATTTTGTTGTTGTGTGCTTTTTGCTTGTTGTCTTTTTTTCGTACAACAAATGAGACGGTTTGTCTACGCGAATCAAATTGATTATGATTTGTTGTTCAAATGATAATAATGGTCGTACGGTAGCGGTTTAAACTGAAGGGGATTGTACGTGTATTTGTGTGTGTGTGTGTGTGTGTGTGCGATGTGTTACAATTTTGGATGTTTTTTCTTTAATTCTCGGCCCAAACAACGATTCAATTCGAAGAGGAAAATTGAAACGAATGCCTAATTGTGAGATCAATGTGTATCTTGGAAATGTTTTCTTTTCTTTCAGCTAGCTCATACTCAGGAGGTCTTTCGTTGATTCAATATTTGGGCAAAATATTCTTTGGTAATTATTCATTTTCTTTTTATTCGGTTGAATCTTTTTGTTTTGTTTTTCTTTCTTTCTTCGAACGGACACATTTTGATATTCCATATCGTAGTTTGGGTTTACCGCTGGCCAAATTCAAAATCGGATTTGAATAGAAGAAAAAAACAAAATGCATTGTAAATGCAAAACTAACATATGACAACTTGATTTGAGCGTATGTTGCGTGCACAGTGTACACACGCACTATCGATTGCGCGATTTCGACTCTCGACTTGGCTGAATGTAGAAAATGTAGGTGCGGGCGCGCGTGTGCGCCCGTGCGCACGGCATATGTACATTAGCAGTTGTTGTTGTTGTTGTTGTTGTTGTCGGGTTTGCTATATTTGAGCTTATTGACTTTTGCCAATGTCTAATTTGGATATTTCACTTTCTAAATTGGCTGTGTCTTTATTCTGTATGAGTTTATTGTTGCTATCTTTGCTACTATGTAGGATTTTACGTGTGATATTGTTGCTCTGATGCTGTTGCTGTTGCATCGCATCTTTTTGGTTTGTGTCGTTTTTCTCTTTGTGCGCATTGTTTTTATCATGGCTACTGGATTTGGTTTTAATGAATGGGAATATGTTATGGCAACTATTTGGAAGAAAACCGCTGAGCTTATCTTTTTTCGTCAATTGACGATCATTTTTGTTGGAATCGCTGTCGCCCGTTGGTGTTGGTATTGTTGTTGTCATCGTGATCGTCGTAACAGCCACTGTTGTTGCTGTTTCTGTCGGTGGTGGTGGCGGCGATGTCAAAGGCTTTATTACATTCATTTCTTTATGCTGTGTGGTTATGTTGCGGTTATTGGTCATCGCTATTTGTGTATTATTATCGAGGGTATTGAGATTATTTTGATGACTGTCTAGTATTTGTTGCGGAATATTATTGTCTACTTCGTCCACGTTTAAGACACTGTTCGAATGGTTGTGCGAATCTTTGTTGCTCTTGATCGACGGCGGCGATTGTTGTTGCTGTTGCTGTTGCTGTTGCTGATCAGCCACTCGTTCTGATTGGTATGGCGGTGCTTCTGGTGGTCCAAAATCAATGTACACTTGATTTTGTGATGCCAAATAACTTTCGTACGATGGTGCTGAATCTTTTTCACGTAATCGTTTTGCCTGAACAGCACCCCAAATATCTTTCAATTCACCCGATAAATCACGATCCTTTAGCACCTCAGCAGCTCTATAAAATACATTTGCATTTATGTTAATTTCAAATCAATTTACCTCGAAACCGGTTTACAACAATTTTCAGAATGGAATTGCTTCGGTGAGGCAGTACCACAAGCACGCACACACCATATTCATTGCATATTTACCTAGCTAATTTGAGTCCGGGATTCATCGCCTCAACGAAATCACACATTAGTTTGACGAGCGCCAATTTTTCCTAGCAGAAGATAAGATTGAAAAGTTGTAATAAATATGTCACAACGGCGGGCCATCCATTGAATAGAATTGATTTTTTGTTCGGTTATCACGAATTTTTTTTTTCGATCTTTCGTCTAAAAAATTTTTTCTCCATTTGTCAATTCATGAATTTAATTTTGGTGAAAAAAGAATTTTTTCTCCATAGCTCCTTGTTCATCACTCCTCATTTCGCGAAAAAATCATTTTTTACATGAACAAATGAACCTCTATCGGTTTGAACAACAGCATCGAATATTTGCGATGTATGCAGTTCATTTGTATTGGTTGCCGTCTGTGTCAATCGTTGCCACTGTGCATGTACATGTACATGTTCATCACTCTTGTAGGAAAGAGGAAGAAAGAGAGAGAGACTGAGCGGTGCTACAGATAGTCGCTCGTATTGCACAGTGTGAATAGACGGTCGACGAAATTTTTCACTTTGGCTGACTCTTATAATTCGCAAGGTGACGAATTTACCAGTTTGAGTATATTTCGATTTCGGTTCGTATACTATTGTGGCCAACCAGTTCATAAGATGTTTGCTCAGTCTAACTGAAGAACTGGTTAATAATGCAACGAACTCCGTGTAGTTTGTGTGCTGGCCGGGCACTTACGTGCTGAATATCTACCGCTTGCTCATGCCGTGTCATGGCAGGTTCATGGTATGTAAGATAAATCAATTCTTTTTGCAATGGCGTTGGCTTTTCATGCCAATGTTGATGTTGTGTGTGAATTCAAAGAAAATCGAAACAGATTGGATAAATACCTCAGCATCCGAGCATTTTCTACCGACATGCTTTAAAATTGCTGGATTCGCCATCACGGCAAACATAAGCGGTGATTTTGGACTACCTGACGTAACCTAATTAATCAACCAGAAATATAAACACAATTAATATTACCAAGACTGAAATGAAATTGGGCTTTTTCGAGCCACTCAGAAAAGCAAGTGCGATGAGAAAAATAAAATAAAATAAATGTTGTTGGCTTAAGTCAAAATAAGTGGTGGATTTTATTAAGGCTAAAAGCTTCTATATTGCTTTTTTTATCATGTAAATTAGCAAAAAGCCGAGACAGAGAGACAGAGAGAGAGAGAGAGAGAGAGAGAGAGAGAGAGAGAGAGAGTCAGTGAGTGAGAGAGTGAACGAGTGTGTGACGGACGAGAGGCAACACATTGGAGAATGGAAAATGGGAAAGAACTCGCAGTGTGTCGCATTGAAGTTAAAATTATTGCATGACGTCAATAGAAACGTAAACGAAAGGAAAAGTTTCGTCCAAACACCAACAGATTGGCCAGAAATTGTGATTTCTTGTGGTGTTTGCTGTTTGTTCTTTCTTCTTTTCGCATTGCAAAACTGAAGCGCACGTTCTCACTCGCTCATTCACTCTCGCTCCATGTGCCAACTGTAATTGAGGATAATTTGATTAGCATACTAACAAAATAGATATAAATTGTGTGTTCAACATTAACTAGCTTTAGAATAGTTGGTTATTCAGGAGAGATAGACAGAGAATTAGAAAGAAACAAAACACACAAGTAAACGGATACACACACATATATACACACACATACAATCTATACGAAGAATTGAATTGACGGTGCTAAAACTTACTCTCATTCCGCCGTACAATGGGATTGGATCCGTTTCAGAGTGTGGCATACAGATTTTAGTCCAGCTCATCACATTTATGAAGAGCTCTTGACCGTCATCTGTATGATCTTTGATGCACATATGCGGCTGTGGGGGATTTTTAAAGTGACGAAATGCACGTGAATTACGAATTAGATAAGGCGGATCGTGGTATGGAATTTGGGGTTGTTGTTGTTGCTGCTGCTGCAATTGTTTTTGTTGTTGCTGCTGCTGTTGTTGAGCCTCTTGTTGTTGATGGCTTGTGACATTATTGTTTCGCAAACTTATCGATTCATCCGATTCGGTCATAAGTCTAGTTGCCGAATAACTTGGCAAATTCGACATTTTTTCCTTTATTTTTATCTCTCTCTTCTTCTCTCCTTCTTGAAATTTACTATACAAGTTGATTTATTAGTTGAACTCTATCACAGTCGACCTGTCGATAGATTCCAGTTTCCAAGAAGCTTTGGCTTAATTGCGCTCCACTTAAACCAAATACTTGTTATTCGTCTATTTTTGTTCTCTTTATTTTACACTATTTGTCGAAATACATATTTTCAATCCACTTGCTATCGTTCGATGTTCGTACTTGCAGTTGAATGCACTTTTGTATGTATGTTTTTTTTTGTTGTTGTTGTTTTTATTGTTACTATTGTAAATCCACTAGAAAAAAAATCGTCGTCGACGAATTACTAAAAATCTATCCGATGATTGTTGGAACGTTAAACGAAAAAAGAAACAAATTAGGATTGCAATCCAAAATAAATGAAATTTGTCGATAAATTGTCTTTGTCTACGGCTGCTGCTGCTGCTGCTGCTGCTGCTGCTGCTGCTGCTATTGAAATCAAGCACTCCAAAATTTACGTGCATACACACACACCCACCGCGCGCGTTGATAAATCGTGTAGAATACAAGCTAGCCACTGAAAGAGAAATAAACCGACGTCTAAAATATCGATAAATACAGCACTTTTTTTTTATTTCAGCGATTTCAAATGTTTGTTCTATTTTTTCTCTCTGCAATTTGGCTAGTTGGAGTGTGTATTATGTTTTATTTTAATTTCTCTTAATTTTTTTTTCTTCTCTGCTGCCTGCTTTTGCAAGGTGCTTGGTGCTTGTTCGATTCCTTTATTCGCTCTTATTCGATTTTGAGAAAAATTCTTCGCACCAATTCTAGTCAATGCGTTTTAGTGGGCAATAAAATTCCGATTTATTTCACACACGATGAAGAGTTGAGTAGCAACAGAAAAAAACAGAAAAAAAAACAAAAACAACAAATTCACAAAATTCACGAAGAAAACGAACGGAAAAAATTATGTGTAGCCAAATCACACAAGAGAGAAAAAAGCAAACTGAACAGTAGTTGAAAAACAACAAACCCAACCAGAATACCAAAGTAAATAAATAAAAGCCAATGTCATGAATGAATGAACTGATGGTGATGTTGATGTACACAGCACAACACATGCATAAACACTCACAGACTTGGATGTTCTGTTCGTCGGGTGCGTGTAACTTTAACTATATAAATAACAAAAGTTTGAAGAAGAAGAAGAATTAAAAGAGCATAGTGTATGAGTGAGGAAGAGAGCGAACAAACCCCGAAACACAGAGAGACTTTTATAGCGAATGTTTCATATATATATACATATATATATGCACACAAGCTCACACATGAGACGCGGCGCGCGAGAGACACCAATATAAAAATCGAAGCCGTCGTCGGGACGTGAATGAGTTGGATAGTCAGCGGCCGCGAATAACAGGAGAAACCTCAAAACTGGCAAATAACAACACCAAGAACAGAGAGCCGAAACAAATGCCTCGAATGCATATATACCAACAACATACACACACACGCACACACGCACACACACACACACAGACGCATACGATAATAAAATGCTCATGGCATGCATTCGATCAATTTGAAATCCAATTTGTATGTTTATTTCGGAGAATCGAAGCAACGCGCTAGGCAAGGAATTTAATCGTCTCACGCAGCACAAGTGAGCGACAAAACGCTTTGGAAAGGAAAACAAAGGCAAAGTCAAAAGCAAAAACAACGAGCAACAGTAGAAGAAGGAGTGAAATGAAATACAGAAGAAGAAAAAACAACCGAATGTTTGGCTCTCCTCATTTGGCCGACTACGGTGTGTTGTCGACCATGTATGCGTTACCCATATCAAGGAGTGCACATAGTGTGATACACCATAAATAGAGAAAGAATTTGGATTCTATGTGTACTTGGTGAATTCGACGAAAAACACACAGACACACTTAAATTTATATGTTTATATGGTGTGTGCGGTGCACACAACACACACACACACACACACATAAGCAGCGAGAGAGAGAGAGAGAGAGAAACGCGCATTGCACAAAAGGGGATAAAAATGAGGTAAACAGAAACCAATTGGAACGTTGAATTGTACAATTGGATTCTTGTGGCAAATGTTCAAAGCTGAACAGCAGCAAAACAGAGGGACAGAAAAAAATGAATTTAAATGTGTGCTGCAAAGGGTTGCCATCAGGCCAATGACTGAAACACAAATAGAAAAACACAATGGGAACGAGATGCAATGCAGACGGTTAGCTGCGAGAGGATAACGACAACGACAACACAAAAAACATCATGTTGAGTTGTGTGCACCATTTCTCGTATCGATTTCTATTGATTTTTGAAAATAGGCATGCAACAGCAACAGACGCGCTCATATCATACACACAGACACGCACTTGTATGCGTATACAATGAACGAAACGTGACCGCGATGCAACTATACAGTTCATAATCTCTGGCCAGCACAGACTTTCGTCGCGTAACATACATTCCATATACAGGCATAATCTTTCGCTATCTCTCTCTTCCCCTCTTGCGCTTACTCTCTCTCGACTAAATTGAATATAAACAACGGCGTCGTCTCGCATAATCGATGCATTTATTTAAAGTGTGTGCTGTAGAGCTGATATCAAATGATACGAGATGGCACCTCCAGCGCCATGTCACTGGCACAATGAACTTAACGTCAAAACAACTTGTATTTCCATTTGTGTGACAGTTCACAGTATTTTGTATTGTGTATTGTGTGCATCGTCGATTTGACACACACACACACACACAGAGAGAGAGAGAGAGAGAGAGACAGAGAGAGAGAGAGAGAGAGAGAGAGAGAGAGAGAAAGTCAAAACTGACATTTTCATACCATCACACAAAGAACAACTGTTTTTTTTCTCGCAAGAGATTCAGACAATCCGAATCACTTATCGTTTTTTGTTCCCATTTCGATAAAAAAATAAAAAAAAATAAAAGAACACAAACGACATTTAAAACAAGAACGAATTTTCTAGAGCTAGATAAAGCGCGAAAATTAATACATCGCAGTCACATGCAAACATTCATACAGCTGTGAATACAACTAGAGAATGGATAGTCAGGTAATTTCGATTCGATTACAAACAATACGATCAGTGTTTTATTACATTGTTGCATGAAATATATCGTTTTTTTGGGGGATTTTTGGTCTAATACACATACGTCATATTTATGAAAATATGAAAACAAACGCGTACATATTTGTGTAAATGTGAATGGCAACAACAATGAATGTGAACACAACCAATGATTTATGTAAACACAAACTCAGTATGATTATTGAATCGTGAAGCCAAAACGCCTTTTTTTCATTGAATTTAGTAAACATTGCATTTCATTGCTAAATCAATTAAGTCAATGAAAATTGTGAAGGTTGAATGATTGTTGTGTTTTTTTTTTCTAGCCACCACTTGATGATCATTTGGCCGATATTGTAGACGACGAGTGGCGTCAAGAGCAGCTACCACACGAACAAATTTGGGTACCATCGGAAAAATTACCAGATCCCGAAGCGGACAACGGTGACTCGCATCTTACTTTATTGGAGCAGGTAAATTTTTAAATCGAATCTGTTTTTTTGTGTGTGTGTATTTATTTAATTTTCTAAATGGAGATTTCAATAATTTTCTTTCTGTCCAATTTTCAAGGAACAACGATGGACCGATCTTTCGCTCGCTAATCTAACACCGGAATTGACAATGACCGATCAAATCAACATTTCTTCCTCATAAGCTCCGCCATCATTGTTAATTTGGTGTTCCGATGTGAAAAAGAAAAAAAATAAACCGAATAAAAAACCAAAACAAACATATTTACAACAACAACAAAAAAGAACTCTAGAAATCCATAGGTGTATATTTAATATCTGATATGTGAAACCGAAAGTGCAAGTTAAGTTGTAAGCAGCAACAGTAAAAAAAAAGTTTCTTCCCATTTCAATGAGGAAACTGATCTATTAGTTTGCATGAAATAATCAGTAATTTAATATTTATTTCAACTGTAATTTAACAAAACAAAAAAAAAAACAAGATGAATCGTAATCTACATTCCCCGACGAAATTAACGGAATTTGCGCGTGATTTCGACATTGAGCCAGATACGTTTTTCGCCAAATTCGTTCATAAAATTACCAATGTTTACAATAGTGGCTATAACACAGTAAACGTTGTGCCAGCAAATCGACAGAATTTTTTACACGGGTAAGATATTCACACAGAAGTTCAGAGTAGTGGTCAAATGCCAGCGAAATTCAGTGGACTTGATTTTGGGTTTTTGAAATGTAGTTTGTGATGAATTTACCTTTTTTCTGTAGTCCAAATACTTCCGGCATCTCAACACCAACGTATTCATTAAATGAAGGTAGTTCCGATGGTCTCGAATCGGATCAACTATCTATCAAATCACAGTTACCATCGACTAGTAAGGATGATGATGAATATGATCCTAATCAGGCAGACGATTATCCACCATTGCAACATCGGAGCGTTCGCAATCCGCTTAGTGTTATGCAGCGCATTAGTAGTTTAATGGCTATTAGGAATAATGTAAGTACATTGTCATCGTATTTAGTATAGGAGTTGTTGAATGAATTTCATTTCGAAGATAACATTCAACCATCAAAAAATTATTTTTTTTGGTTTCGAATTGTTTTGACTTTCGTACTTTTGGTTGGCTAATGACTGACTAAAAATGATTATATTGAACAAAATATACGACTGTAGTCAACATCAGTTATAGTAGCCTTACATCAGTCAAAAGGTACGAAATTTTGTCATCTAGCTGAAAAATAGCTAAACATGACTGTTTCTTTGCAACATTTTTAAATCCATTCACCTTAGTCAGTCTTAGTTGATTACAGCTACAATTGCTACATACAATTAAGTGTGAGTCATTTAATTTTCACATGGGTCACGGCATGCATTATTTTAAGAAATTTTTTGAGTTGCCCATTTTCAAGAAAATTTAAGTAAAACACTGCCCATTTTTGAGTTTTGAGCTGCACATTTGGGATTTAGAACTGCCCAAATGGGCAAGAGCTGCCCACTAAAACAATGCATGGGTCACGGTACATTGATTTCATTTTGAAACAAACAAAAAATCTGTGTCGATTACATTTTCTGTTACTTGTTTGCTTGTTTCTTAAATGGGTTAAAATTACAATAAATCTTCTGCTAAATACTTTTTTCTCTCCATTCCACAGAACAATTTGACTAGTTATAAAGACACCGAACTCCATCAATTTTGGATGCCCGACAACAAATCCAAAGAATGCTATGAATGTACACAAAAATTTTCAACATTTCGACGAAAGCACCATTGTCGATTGTGTGGCCAAATATTTTGCTCGAAATGCTGTAGCCAAGTGGTTCCGGGCAAAATTATCAATTGTTCGGGTATGCATTATCATGTTTATAGTCTTTGTTGAGTATATTCATTCCAATCATCAAAAATAGCCAAGAGGTGAAAGTGAAGAAAATCCAAATTATTCAAAATTGATACATTGCTCATTTTCGATTTGAATTATTACATTACATTGATGTATGTTTGAAATTGAGGGTGATCGCATCGGCCTAATTTATATAACAGTCTTAACAGCCGCAAATCAGCTGATAAGAAGTATAGTGAAATTTACATGAATCAACAAAAATCATGTGTGTCATGTGATTAGACTGATACAGTGTCTGATTATCATTGTTTTCAATTTGTTTTCATGGAAAATGCCTGCTAATGAAAAAAATGTACATTATTTGCAGGTGATTTGAAAGTGTGCACCTATTGTTCGAAAATCGTATTGACCTATTTGAATTCGTCGGATATAAATTTGGATTTAAAATCCGATTTGCAAGCCTTACAAGATGATTTAGCGAAAAAGTTTCAGTTGCAAAGCGATGAAAGTAGTTCAATGGTACAGGAATCATCATCGCCACAGCGAAAAATCTCCGTTGGTTATCAAGAGGAGCGATTATTGTCACAGCCAAAGTACCTGTTGTCAAATGCCGATCGTAAGAATATTCTACAACAATCGACATCGTTGAAGGTGTTATATGAAGATGTTGCAAAAGCGTTGCCAAATCAAAATCCCGGCTCCGATATCATTCACTATTTGATTACGAAGAATAAATCGTCGAATAAATCACAGGCGATCGCTATCTTGACGGCAATGATTGAAGCCGGTTACATCATTGAAATCGATACGACCGGACTGAATCCACCGAATTCAGTCAAACAGCGAGCATTTTACTATGACGAAAACGAGGAGGGAAATAACAGCAGCACTCCCAGCAGCGACAATGATATTTTGTATGAGTTCAATGAAAATGCATTCTACAAATTGCTGCGACCAAGCGAAATAATGTCGAACAGCGGAACATTCGACCTTAATATGGACGTTGACAATACGTCGGTGCATTTGAGCAAACCAGAAGCCGCTAAATCTGGTAAGAAGATTATTTTTATTCATTTTCAATCAGAATGAGTTGATGATTTTATTTTTTTTTTTTCAAATTTTGAAGGCGTCGATGGGTCAGTTCAAAGTCAACAGGGTTTAAGTTCAGCTAGAACTCGTGAATCTGATATTGAAGACACGGTCATTTCAACGACCGGTTCGAAGGGCTTACAAGAAGCGTTTTGCCGACATGAAGACATGCTGTTGAGTGAGTTTTAATATAGTTTTTGCTTTGTTCAATGCAGTCTCCTTTTATCGATTTCAAAATATTCATAAAAAAATCTAAAATATGAAACTTTTATCACAATAAATACATTTTCTAACCATTTCAGCGCAATTGCTTCGCACTGAAAACTTGGACGAATCATGGGCAAAAACGTTGATACCGATTTGTGCTCGTATCGTGAACACACTGCCGCCGGAAATGATTGGCCGAAATCAAATGGACATTCGTAACTATGTGAACTTCAAAAAAGTGTCCGATGGCTCAAGAGGTGATAGTTGCATTGTGCGCGGTGCTGTCTTTTCGAAAAATGTCGTACACAAAGATATGGCCACCACAATCAACGATGCCCGAATCTTGTTGCTTCAATGTCCGATTGTTTACCAACGTGTCGAGGGCAAATATGTTACAATCGAAACATTATTGCTGCAAGAGCGTGAATACCTAACGAATGTAGTCGGTCGAATCCGTTCACTGGGTCCAAACATAATATTCGTGCATAAAAATGTGTCGGGTATTGCCCAAGAGATGCTACGAAAATGTAATATAACACTTGTGATCGATGTAAAATTATCGGTGCTAAAACGACTATCCCGATGCCTACAATGTGATGTTGTATCGTCAATCGATTCGAATATTGGCCGCCCAAAATTGGGTATCTGTGAAAAATTCTACATTCACACATTCACTAATTCGGTTGGCATGGTAAAAACGTTAATGTTTGCCGAGACACCGTCAAATCCGCGCGGCTGTTCAGTACTTTTGCGCGGTGGTACTGACAACGAATTGGTTCGAGTGAAGCGTGTCGCCGCTTTTCTCCTATTTGCCCGTTACAATTGGCGCATGGAAATGTCATTTTTGTTGAACGAATTTGCACGTGCACCATCACCAAAACCAAACATCTTCGATTCAAAAGATTACAGCCCATGTGCGGAAATCAATCAAAATGCAACTACATCGCTGTCAACTACGTTGAATGGCCAACAGGAGAAAAATAATTCAAATCATCGTGTGAAAAAGCCGGAAAAGAAAACCGACGAAAAATTGGTCACAAAAGAAAATGTGCAAGACTTTTCGGATCCATTGCGTGCGGCAGATCTTGCACCAAGCGCATTCAGCTCGGAATGTTCCGTGAAGTTTGCCGTTGAACAACCCTGTGATAATCGCTTTCGAACAGCACTCAGTTCAACGGTTCTGTCAATTAGCCCATTCTTACTGTTTCCGTTGCCGTATTTGGAAACGGAAATCGGACGCAAGTGTGCACTACGCACTCGATTCCCAAACGAACTCTACTACTCGAAACAATGGTCGGATAATATTGAAAAATTTTACCACAACCACTCACCGGCTGCTAAATCAAATGAAGATGAAGTAAGAATGTGTGTTGTGCGCTGAAGGGTGATATTTGTATTTGTCGTGAAAAATTGGCTCTAATTTTTTGAAAATAAATTTTTCATTTGATCTTAGAAAGCTGCATTGCATGACTTCCTCTTACATAAAATTGTTGAACCATCGGAAAACAAAGATTTTCAAACACTTTTGGCCAATTTCCGGTCATCCGGTGGAATGCTGAAGAAAAAACCGAAAAGTATTGAAATATTCTTCGGCCAACTAGCCATAACTATCTGGTTTTTACTGATTATTTCAATCTTCTTCCATCATTTTCAGTGGAGGCAATCATTCGAAAGCCGCAACGGCCAGAACAAATCAACAATACAGACGCCGTTCAACTGAAAGACGCTTTAGACATTAACAATCATCAATCAATTCCGCTGTTGTTCACCTATTTTTACTACAGCCCCGATGGAACGTTTTCATTTTGCGTCCATCCTAATCTATTGAATATCTCATTTTATGGCGACAATGACATCATGTTGGGCCAATTTCTTGAACGATACTGTTTTGATAATTCCTATGTGTGTGGCGCTTGCAAACTTCCAGTATTAGGTCACATTCGTCGGTAATGCATTGGCCAATTGGAATTATTTTCATCTATTTTTTTTTTGCTTTGTGAATACAAATCTTAATGGTTATTTTCTATTCGTTCTCGACTCGATTCTAGATATGTACATTCGATGGGCTGTGTTACGGTAAAATTGAATGAAGAAGAACAAAAGCATAAGCAAATCACGATGTTTTCATGGTGCTCCAAATGTAAAGCAGTCTCAAAAAGTGTTACCATGCAAAAAGACACATATTGCCTTTCGTTTGGAAAATATCTTGAGCTGCGATTTCACGGTCATGCCTACCGTTGCCGCGATTTAAAACGTGATGAATCCGATTCGACATCACCAAAAAGTGAAAATGATTCGGTTTGTACGCATTCACTGCATCGTGATCATGTTCAGTATTTCTCCTATAACGGAACAGTGGCATCGTTCTGTTATACACCAGTCCAAGTATGGGAAATTAGTTTGCCATCGCTGAAACTTCTGTTGAAAATCCATCAAACAAATGAACCGGTTGCAATTTTGGGCGACATTAAACCGTTTTCTACGCGTGGCTATGAGATCTTTGCCACGATCTACGATCGACTGGCGCAGTTGCTGTGCGATGTCGAGTTTCCACTGTTGAACTCATTGAAACGAACATTGAACAATGACCAGTTGGTGTTTCGTGAAAAAGTTGGTGTGGTTCAAGCGCTGCTTTCAGAAACATCGGTCAATGTTTATGAGATTGATGATGCTGTGTTCACAATGAAAAAGACACTCGCTGACAGCATTGAGGCATGGCAACAACGATTGACGGATGCATCGATTCAATATCGCGCCATTTGTGCGGCTGCAGCTAAATCGGATTCATCGAGTTCAACTCCAGCTGCCAGTGCAACTCCTCCAGTTCAGCAGACTACAATAGAACGTAAGTTCCGACGGAAAGATTTATTTTTAATTTATCAAACAATTCAAACTTTATTTTCTCTTGTTAGGCGAATCCGTGGAAGGACCCTTTGTTGATTCGGGTACAATTTGCAACGAAGATTTCCGATCTGATCCCGAATCTCCAATGAACGGTTCAAAGTCGAATGTGTTTCTCAGTCGTGAGGTTAGTGTTGATTCAGAGAGTTCTGTAACACAAAAAAGTAGTACAACTGATGGAGCCAGCATCAGCCTAAGTACAATACCGAACGCTATCGTTGAACGTGAAATCAAAACATCAACATCGTCCGACAAAAAGAGCGTGAAAACGATTCTGCGTGAGCTATTGCCAAGTGAAAAAAGTGTACAACCGCTACCATCGCCACTTCCGCCGAATGAACACTTATCACTACCGATCGGATATGTTCCGGTGTTGGTTCATGATCAAGACTTTAGTTCGGTAATTGCATACTGTTTGGCCTCATTTGACTACAAACGAAAATTGGACAGTTTGAGTTTCTGTGACATTCATCGTAAGTCATATGATGCAACGACCGACACTGATGATGCATCGTCTCCGGCGGCTTCGAGCAGTAAGGAGAGTGAAAAGGAGAAAAAATCCAAAGCAGCACAAACCCATATCGAAATGAATTTCCAAGATTCAACATCCGCAACGCAATTCACATGCAAAGTGTATTTTGCACGTGATTTTGACTCGATGCGCAACAAGCTACTCAGTGTGGACGGTTCATTTGATGGCAATGAAAAGGCATCCTTCTATCGACGCCAGCATACATCGGACGGTGAGGGAAAATCGAGCAAAGACTTTGATCGAAAATCCAGTAACAACAGCTTGAACACCAGCAATGATCCACTCAAATCCGATGACAAAAGCGACGATGCACAGAAAAAAGAAGTGGACAAGGTACGAGCAGCGTTCATTCGATCATTGAGCAAAAGCGTGAGATGGGAAGCACGAGGCGGTAAAAGTGGATCGAAATTTTGTAAAACAATGGGTATGAAACCATTCTATGTCATTTTTTACAGTTTTCTTTTGTTATTTTTTTTATTTTTTTTTACTTTCACTAAATTTTTATCATGTTTATCTTTTCTCCGTTACAGATGATCGTTTCGTTTTGAAAGAAATGACCAAAAATGATATCTCAAAATTCGAATACTTTGCGCCAAATTACTTTGATTACATCAATCAGTGTTTGCTCGGCAATAAACCAACACTTCTGGCCAAAATATTCGGCGTTTTTAAAGTGATCATCAAGAAAAAAGAGTAAGTTGTAATCAAAAACGATGATTTCTTTTTGTTTCATTTAATTTATTAAAAAAAAATCTCTTCTAATTTGCAGTAATGTTCAAGAAAAATCTCTGCTGATTATGGAAAATCTCTTTTATGACTATGATATTGATAATAAGTTCGATCTAAAAGGTTCGCTACGAAATCGGCTGGTCGATCCAAATAATCAAAACGGTGAAGAAACCGTGCTTCTCGACGAAAATCTCATACAGAGTAAGTTGAATTTAAGCTGAAAATAATTTGTGTTCAAATGCTCAAAATTCGACATGATCGATGTCGATGTCGATAATTATTTATCATGAAATATTATAAATTTATGCATTTTCTTTTTGTCTTTCTTTGTATAGTGTCTTGGTCTAATCCATTGTACATACTCGCCCACAGCAAATCGGTTCTGTGCGATGCCATCAATCGTGATGCAACGTTTTTGGAGAAAAATGATGTTATGGATTATTCATTATTGGTGGGCTTGAATAATTCCGGCAAACTCCTTGTCATCGGTATAATCGGTGGGTATTTTAAATTTATCTATTTGGTTCGCGGTTTTATTCCCGATTTTTGAAAATTTTATTCTAATTTAATTGAAGATTTTAAACAATGATGAAAAAAATTTAGAGAAAAAAAGAAGAAATATTCAAAATCAATTAAGATTTCCAAATATTTTCTTCATCTCTTCAGATTACATTCGAACCTATACGCTTGACAAAAAAATCGAATCGCTGGTAAAATCGAATTTAATGGGAAAACAAGATTTGCCAACGATTGTGTCGCCAAAATTGTATCGCGAGCGTTTTACAAAGGCAATGAATCGATATTTCTTGGCTGTTCCAGACCGATGGGAAGGATTACGAATTGAATAACGAGACTCGACTAAATAATTGAACAAAATTTTCTCTAATTCCCAAGCAAAAGAGTACGATTTGTTTCTATCGTGACGATACATTTCATCGTGGAATAGCGGCCAGCGCATGTACACAACACTTCTCCTTTCTCACTGCTGCTATGTTAAACATAGTATGCTGTTCACGCACACCGATAGAGCCAAATCGTAATCTTTCGCTTGGGTTTGACTAACTTACGAAATGGTAAATTAACTTTCATTTTGTAAAATGATTTTTAAAAGAATTTAAATAAAAATATTTCGAAAATATTTACTAAGCCAACCATATTATTATTTTTGAATCATCATATTGGAAAAAAAAAATTCAAAATAAAAATCTGTTCAATTCCAAAAGATTTCGAATTTCTTTATATTTCAAACTGTCACATTTCATGATTCAAGAAACTCACGCAAAGAGTGTGTGTGTGTGTGTGTGTGTGTGTGTGTATTGTATCCTCCCCTCTTGTATCATTTGACAGTGTTTTGAGATTGTGATTGCAACACGCTGATTTGCGGCGATGTTGTTTTGATTAGTTGTTTTTAAGTAAATTAAATTCGAATTTGAAGATTTAAAATGTTCTCACAAACGTTAAGGCGATTCGCCAATTTACTAAGCCCTAACAAGCAATTGCCAATTCGCTTATGCAGTACTGTGTTTGAACCACAAACAGCTCGGGCTGTTGCATCACATAGTGAGGGATAATTTTGATACCAAATTTGCCAAATATTACATTCCATGCTTCTGTGTATTTTTGACGAAAAGCGAAATAAACTAATGGTCAAAAATTCATTTCAGATATTCACAATATTAATGTGACGGGAAAAGTGCTGAATATTTACAATTTTGAAAATGGCACAATGACATTCTACATCAAATCTGTGTGTCCGGGTGGTTTTTAGTAGGTTTTAGCAAATTAAAGTTTGATGATTGACAACGAAACATTAATTGCAATTGGTTTTTTTTTCTTCATTACACAGTAAAATGCACAAAGTATTGCTTACACAAAGAAATGCTGTATTGTTGGATATGATGAAAACGAATTTAGCGCTCGAGCAAAAAGTGCATATAGCAGGCAAATTGAATACGTCTCGATTTCAAACGTATGATGGCAAACATAGGAGCACTTCAGCAATTATGGCAACGCAAGTGTTTATATTTAGCGATGGAGCAGTGGCAAAAGATTCAAAACATGCATCCACAACTGAAACAGCCCCAAATGAAGTGGCCGTGCCTGAACCAGTCATCGATGAGAATTCAGTAGAATTGTCAGGCACAATCACAACTGGTATTAGTGGAGGAGATCAGTTCAAAAGTTTCACTTTGGGCACGCTTAAGTAAGTCGAATGTTTTATCCAATTCCCAGGCCCTAGAGAGAAATATATTTCAACCAAAAATGTTCATAAAATGTAAAAATGCGTAATTTTATCTTTAAAACTAGGGTTCCCCATTTGAGCAGAACCGATCCAAAGAATGTATCCTTCAATCGAATTTTTGTGTATGACAAATCTTTATTTCCCACACTAAATGGGGTACGAGTCAAGAGAGACGAGATCTTAGTACGTGGTGAAATATCCTATCGCATGTACAAGGAAATATCGGGCAAAACTGTAACTTCATCCTATATCAAAGCCACACAAATCTACCGAATATAAATGTCTAGTCAATAGAAATAGCATCCAATGTTGACATTTTCGTTCAATTCGTTTTTACTGGAATTCAACGAGTTTCATTGAAGAATTTAATGTAATTAAAATTGATTGAAAAAATATTGTTTGAATTGAAATTAATTTGTTCATTTTAACAAAAAAAAAAAGATTTTTTCAATTCATTTGAATTTTATGTGGGGGAGGCTCATTTTCAGCTGACGTTTATCGATTTGACACATGTTTTCTCTTTTCTTTGCACGTGTGACCAACTTCACGTCATTCACATCAGTCATTGTATATGGTGTTGGACGAACTACACAAAAATATCAGTCGAAAAGTTGTAATTTGATTGTAAAAATCCAAATAAAAAGATGGTCGTGTGGAGTTCGACAATCCGATCAATTGCTCAACCTAGTTTGACGAATATTTTATCGAAACCCGGCGCAATCCAGGCAATCTGCAAAAATGGTATGTGCTTTTCTTTCGCACACCGTGTGTGTGTGTGTTTTTGCAAAGGAAAACTACGCAATCAACGTATGTTCCGTATACTTGGTTATGCAATCAAATCATCTCTATCCCATTATTATTTGACATATCTCAATTTATTTTTCTTTGGAGAATCGAATGTCGAAACATAAATAAACATTGTATGTATAGGGTGACTGAAATTCCGTTTCTTTGCATATTTATTGTAGTTGCGATTCAGGTGCGACATGGCGGTCATGGTCCTCGTATGATGGAGATACAGCCATCACGTTTCCAATGGAACAAATTTAAGGATAATCTTCATTTCTACACTTTGGTCGGAGCCATCCCATGTATAGCCATCATCTTTATAACAAATGTTTTCATTGGCCCAGCCCAATTGACACCAATTCCAGAAGGATACGATCCAAAACACTGGGAATACCACAGAGTAAGCGAAATTGTGTTTCATTGTTTACAAAAATATATTCAAATCTCACACACTTGAAATTATTTCATTGCAGCATCCGATTAGCCGTTTCATGTCACGATACATTTTCCCAACTCCACAACAAGATTACGAAAAAACGTTGCACGTTTTGTATGTCGAAAATGAGAAGAAACAATTGCGATTTTTAGAAGAAAAAGTGGAAAATTTAATGAAAGAACGCCGAGATTACCAAGCCTACTATTATCGCCCAGTTACCGCCAAGAATCTGCGCGTATCACGAGCTGCGACCGACTTTTTGGAATCACTTTGGGGTGATAATTAGATTATGTGCTATTTACTATTTAAAAGAAATGTTTAATTGATTGTAGAAAGAGCACTCTCGTTATGTTGTGTCATGTGGATGCTCTTAGACAAACACCATGGAAAATTGAATAAAAAAAAAAAATTAAAATAATGAAAAAAAAGTGAATGGTTTCATTTTGTCGTAACATATTTGTTTGCAGATTGACAAAATGCAGTGTATTTCAGAAGGGGAAAATTAAAACACAGTGATCGATTGAATTTTTCACAGTTTCTTATTCAGAACTTACACATTATATATATGGCTTACTAGCTATAACACGTTTTTTTGTTGTTTTTTTTCTGTTTGTCATTAGCATCGTTCATTTGTGTTTGAACAAAGAGATTTGTCTATTTATTGCCTAAATCCATTATTTTATTTTACTCCTTCTTCATCTCCTGTTACATTTCATTTATCTAAAATCATAACAATCATAACTCTATATATTACATTACTAATCTCTAAATGTTACATACAATAAAAGTAGTGTTTTGATTTTGTTTTTTTTTTGCTTTTTTGTGCCAACAACGATTTGTTTTGTTGTGGTCATTTTACACAAATTTTGCATATGTTGGTTCATTTTTACACCGTCACATCAAGTATTTTAACAATTTTATGAATTTAACAATAGTAGATTGCGGTAATTTTCCTCATAAATTGAATGAAAGTGGTCGAATATTGGCTACCGATGACATTCTACGGATGCGTCCCATCATTTTGCGTTCAATATCTTCCAAGCTCTTGCCTTGCGTTTCAGGCACTTTGAATATGACAAAGAACAGACCGATCAAACAGATTGTGGAAAAAATCATGAAAAGACCGAACAAACCAAATGCCTCTGAAAGATACGGAAAACAACGAGTTCATTAGACAACCAATTGCAAATGGAAACAATTCACACTTAATGTGTGGATCAACTTACTTATGAGATCGGCAAATGTTTTTGTCACAATAAATGTGCACGACCAATTGAAACCGGTTGCAACCGATGCAGCTGTACCACGAATTTTGGCGGGTAAAATTTCACCCATCATCAACCATGGAATTGGTCCAAAACCCAAACTAAAGCTCGTCACAAATATCATCAAACTACCCAATGGCAACCAACCAATCTGCGTTACATCGTAATTAGAGACTTCCTTCAGATAAAAGTAACCGGCCAACGAGGCCAATGTCAATGTCATGCCAACAGATGAAATGTACAGTAGAATCTAGGCAAAACGAAAAAAAAAATGGAATTGAAAAATATTAGATCAATTTGGTCTATTTATGAAATCGAGCGAGCCACCTACTTTTCTGCCAAGACGATCAATGAGGACGGTTGCAACGAAGGTAGCGGCAAAATTGACAATACCCACAATAATGACACAAATGCTTCCCTCCAGTGTCGAACCGGCCCAAATGAAAATCTTCTCAGCATAAAATATTACAGCATTTATACCGCTGAACTGTTGGAAGAACATCAAACCCAGCGAAACACCGAGCGGTTTCAGATTGTTTCGTCGCAACAATTGCATAATTCCATTGCTTGATGAGTGTCGCTCGGAATCGGTGTGCGTTTTAATGATACCCTTCAGTTCTGGTTCAACGTCAGCCTGTTTGCCACGCAACCATTGCAATGCTTTACGAGCCTGCTCGTCTTTACCGCGCGAAACGTACCAACGTGGCGTTTCGGGGATGATTAACATTAGCAACAAAAATGGTATCGGCAATGTACCACCAAGGTAGGCTAACTGTGACCAATTCATGTATCGTCCAGCCACAAAACACAACAGTATACCTATAGAAGTAAATGAGAATGCCATGAAATTTGTTTTTTTTTTTCATTCAAATGTAAACGAATCGAAAGTGTTACACTTCATTTGGTTGAGAATGAAAAAATTTCGATGTGACCCACTCACCAATATTACCGAAGGCAGTTGGCAATAGGCCAAGTGTACCACGTACTTCAGCTTGCACCGTTTCGCCCAAGTAAACGGGCAGCGACAGTGATGCAATGCCAACACAGAAACCAGACAAGGCACGACCAGCAAGAACCATCCAAACTTCAACTGCACTAGCGATCAATAGCCACGCAACGACGAATGGAACGGATGTGGCAAGAATGGTGGTTTTTCGTCCAAGAAATTCAATAAGTGGCCCACCAGCAATGCCACCAGCTAAACCAGCCAATGGCATAATTCCACCGGCCCATGAAGCCTAAAAACACAAAGAGAGAGAACACAAAAAAAAAAAAATTATTTGGAATATTGCAGGTGTTTTGAGTTTCAAAAACTTACTTGGTCCTCACTAATGTCGAAAACTTTGTGATAATTTGATACATTTGGATTTTGCATGGATGGCAAGGCAGGCGAAGTATATCCAGATGAAAAACCAACGACCAGTGATCCCATGGACACTGATAAAGCAGCTAAAACCTAATCAAAAATGAATACATTTCAATTTTAAGGAATTTCGTTACAACTTTTTACTTATTGATTCAAGTTCAGTGTAAACAAACGAAATGCTACGAATGAAAGATATTTTCAATGTCCTCACAAAATGAAAAACAAAAGCAAACCACCCGACCTGAGGTAGCGGAGACTTCATTTTATGAACTTAACCGAATGACTGTCTGCAATTGCATGAGAATATCGTTGGCATTTTCACAGCCACGATATATCCTTTTCCAAACGGAATGAGGCGTTAATGATATAAATTTTCATATCTTATTGCTTTGGTCATTTCAAAAACGTAAGCTATTGCTGCAGCGGCTGCTGCTGCTGCGTATAGGGAAGAAATTTAAAGCTTTCACCAGCTGACCATAAATTTATTATAGCTTATGGGCCATAATCATACGTCGAAATCAATAGCAGAAGCAGCAGCAGCAACAACAACAGTAATCATGCATTCATTTCATGACTTGAAACTGTTTGCTCCCTTCGAAGAAGAGAGAATTTATGTGTTGATAAGAGGAAGAGCGTTATAAATACAACGACGAAGAAAACGGCATACGATTTTCTAGGCTTGACCTTATAACCGTTTCATTGATTATTGACGTGTATTTGTTTGCTTTTTCATTCAACTTCTTCTCTCTGTGCGCATTTTATCAAAAACAAAACAGAAACTATTTTGAAGGACCTTTTAATCTTATTTACCGTCTTCAATAACAATTGTGCAATAATTTCATGATGCAACCGAGAAAAAAATTGGACGAAAACTTACTTGAGAATAATAGTAAATGGGATTTGTGGTTGTTCGATAAACTTCCAACTTTGGTTTGCCATCTTGGGTGATTTGACGCACAAATGGTACAGCCTGTCGGATGTTTTCACCCTTTCTGCCGGACATGTCATCCATTTCGAAAAATCGTATACTATTCGGAATGAAAAGGTGCATTTTTGTTATCTCTCTTCCAAATACAGCAAATGTGCAATTCAAAAATTGTGTTTACCTTTTCCTTGATTCAAGACTGATCGTTTTTTGTTTTTGGAAGTTTGATCGTGCCGATTCAAAGTCTTCTTTGTCCTGTTGTTCTTCGTCCACTTCTTCTTCGTCTTCTTCGTCGTCTTCGCTCGCTTCTAAATCCTTAAAATCGATGACAATTGGCTTGCTAAAATCGTAGATACGCTCTTGCAGTAAATTGCCTTTTTCATCGATATCCTCGTCGCTGGAATCGGCTCGTCGGCCTTTGTTCAAATTTAGCTTGACACGTGCGTCTAAACTTTGATGTTTACGCGATTGGAAGTGCTTTCGATTGTTTGTGAACTCCTCCTCTGATGAGCTACCATTCAAAATTCTCTCAAGAATTTTCGAATTTTTTATGTCTAACGAAACGTGTTTCTTCGATTGGAACGCACGCCGATCAGCATCAAGCCTCGAATTCTTGAGATCCTTTTTTTTTTATTAAATCGTGGGTGGGAAAATCAAACAAAGCATAAATATGTTAGTGATATAGAAAGTGACACATCAATTTGGATCAGAAAGTTGTGTAGATTTTGCAATTGTCATACGATTGCATCACATAGTGCAAGCAAGGGATAAATGGGATACAATTTTACAACACACAATTCCACTCACCTTTAGTATACCCTTTCGATCTGTAACTGATGTGCTTAGTGATTTTTTCTGTTGGAAATGGCCACGACGATCTTCAAAACTGTCATCGCTGTCGATGTCGGGCTGCTCGAATGATACTTTGGATCCTTTTAACGATGGTTTCGATGAGGCGGATGATTTCTTTAGATTCGATAGTAGCGGATTTTCAAATGTTTTTAATGTACTACTATTACTAGTTATGCTAAGATTATTCAAGGCGGACACACTTTCAACGTCTTCAGTTTCGAGGATTGGGCTGAATGGTACTCGAGTATTTTGCTGTTGGTCAGCTCCAGATTTTGTGCCACCCGATAGAAGTGTACTGTCTTTGGCACTCTCGACGACCACCGTATCCAAACTGGTCGATGTCGACGAATTGGATAGTGATCCGTCGGCTGTTTCGACACGCGAATAGCCTCTTTGCAATGGATCACGTTTCTCATCCTAAATATTCACCAGAAAGGAAAGAAAAAACAATAGAATCGATTAGAAAAACAAACAATTTCGATTAACAGAATCAAACACAATGAAAAACAAAACAAATTTCGTTCAAAAATCCTCTGTTCGAAATTGAATAAAAAAACCGTTCATTGAATTTACCACTGAAATGAATAGCCCCGCTGTAAGCCAGGAACTAAGCTTTGTAATACTCTACACACGAAAACGAAATTATATTTTCGCGTTTGAATAATCCTCCGCAAAAAAGAATTATTTCTAAAAATGCACAAACTACTCTTGGCTCTCGGAGATCTGGATTGAAAATAATCCCGTATGCGTTGCCTGCAACAGCGTTCGACAGACAAATGAAGATCCATTATCAAATTAGTAATTAAATCAAATTTCAATATTTGCCATTTCCAACCAAGACGTATAACGTATACTGTGACAAAGTTCCATATTTTTCTGCATACTTTTCATCCCGACATTATTGTGTAAAACACTGATAATGCAATGTTCGCAACCGAACACAAGAGCAAGAGATTATCTGTGTATGCGTGTGCGAATGAAAACATCAAAGGGATCAGGTACAGGGAGCAAAACATGTGTACATAACTCACACACACTCTCTCTCTCTCTCTCTCTCTCTCTTTCTATCTATCTAACTCTGTCTCAGCAATCGCAATGACGTTGACAATATGTAATCGCGGCTTCCTAAACCAATTATAGTAATTTGATTTTTGTTCAAATGGTTCCACATTTTTTTTCTGCCATCCCATACTGAACATTTGTTCGTATGAATTGTTTTTGTTTATTCTAATTATCGGCCTGAAAATTGGCCAATGCGATAAGACTCAAATCTTGGTGTCCAAAATTTGAAAGCAGACGAATAAATGAATGGCATGGTTTTTGCGCGGAATAATCGCTCTTTGTCTGTATCGATCATGTTACTATGAGACTGCCCGTTTGTTTTGTAATCACGAGATCACTTCGAAATGTTGTTTAGAAGAAAATCATTGTCGGAATGCCTTTGATAAGCGAACAAGCAAAATAAAGCAAATAATTGAAATCTGTTGACATGAAAGTTTTCCAGTTTTCTTAATATTGTTGTTATGTCTTAAGTTTAGAAATGTGTCACGAAATCGAACGACAACACGTACAAATTGTTCAATAAAGAATCGTAATCGAAACGTCGATGAATAAAAGAAAAATTCATTTCTTTTATTAAAAAAAAACATCGATGTTTTTTCATTGGTTTCAATTGTTTTTTTTCTTTTCTTGCATCAAAAAGAATGTCGCGCAAATTCTTTGCTGATAATCACATCAAAATAGCCTGTTTCTCAATTTGGCCCTACTTTGATTGCATCGAAATCAATGCGGCCACCGGGAAATACTTGTTTCGTCAGATACTATTACGTGGACTGAACAATGTTGGGAAAAAAAGAAGCAATTGTCCAATCGATTACGTTACGTTGCGCAGTTCATCATTCAAAAGAGGTCAATTTTTTTACTTTACTTCAAAGCATCAAAGGTTCTGTCTCAATCACAACATTGGAAAATTGTGCGAGACATGATAACACGCTTACTGATCATTTTTATTGTTTACTTGACTTGGCGTACACTTCATCGAATTTACAACTAGTGTGTTTGTGTTATTGAAAAGTTTGATGTGAAACATTAAACGAATCACCAGGTCAGATTGATGAATGTTTATGTTCAAGGCAACCGCAGGTCATAGTCATTGTTGGCACACAACTGATCACGGACGATTGCATTTAAATGGCCCTTACATTCCATTTTGAACACTGTCAAAAACGTACGGCTGTACAAGAATGCATTTCATGGGGATTTATCGCATCTTTTTCTTTCTTTCACTCCCTCTGTCTCTCTCTCTCTCCTTTTTTTTCTCTTTTTCTCTCTCACTCATTTTCAAATTGAATATGAAGCCATTTTTGCCACATTGAATTAACAAAAATTTGAAGGAAGAAAATCAATGGTGGATATTTGCTCGTTGACTTCATTCATATTCACGTTTTATTTATTCAAATTTGCCGTTTTAATCAATATTCAATTAAATTAAGTCATTCGTTGAAATACGATCGTGAGAGAAACTAATCAAGGAATTTAAATGCTTCATCATTGCTAATGAATTATTGTTATGTTGTGCTTAGAATTAAAAAAAAAATACAATGGGACAAATCGATAAGCACTGATCTTGTTTTCAATCTCAATCACATCTGACTGCTCGTAAATAACGGCACATTTGAGAGAATGAGAGAAAAGAAAATGTGAAGGAAGAAAAGCAACGTTGAATGGAGACGGTGGCATTCATTTTAAAAACCGATTAAATGCTCACAACACCCAAACAAAGGCGATAATAACTGATATGATTCATTTCAACGAACGATACTGTACAGTTTTGTATCAAATAGGTTCATCTTTTGAATGAAAATACAATAATTGGTGAGTTCGAATGGAAAGAATATGCGCAAAATAGATAAATAAAATCCTGAGATTGAATGCGTTGGCATTTCCAATGAATTTCTACACTGAACTCTCATAATTGTTGAACATTCTAAATTCCAAAAAGTGTTTTCGTTGAAATGATTCAATTTTTTGGAATTTATTTCAATCAATGAGGGATAGAGAGTGAGACAGAGGGACAGAGAGACGGAGAAAAAGAAGAGATAACCTTTTGAAAAGAAATCGTATTTGTTTACTTTGCTCGTTGTTCTTCCTGCGTGTTCTTCTAATCGAGGTTTCAGAATCAATACAAATCTGACAAAATTTTTGCAGTGTGTGATGGAAAGAGTTAGCGTCAAAGAAAGCAAAATATTGAAGGTTATTGCTTTTTGTGCATTTTGTGCGTGTTGTGATGCTTTAAAAAAAATGAAATATAGAGCATTTTGCATTGATTTCTTTTCATAAAAGTTGAATCGGTTTAAAATTCGACAACAACAAAAGAAACCAATCAATTTAAAATAGAATCGTTGCTCGCCGCGTTGTGTGCAAAGTCATGTATGCGCTATTTTTGAATGTCATCTTGGTGTGAAATATGATGACAATCACTTGTATGAAATTCAAACATTGAATTGCCCATATCGAAGTACACACAACAGGCCATGGGATCCGGCTCCGTCATACCATTCCAAGCCAAATGCACACAGAAGACGAGCCAGTATACCGCGAAAAACAAAATCGATGTGAGTTGGCCACACAGCAAAACGATGACAACCAAAATGCATATACGATACGAAGCATAAAAAGCAAACTGGCTTTAATACTGTCATTGTTATCAAATTTAAGTGAATGATGTGTGGCACGCTACGTTTGATTCAAACACAAAAAAAAAATACACAACGCATAATAGCCGTAAATTGTGTGAATCAAAGTGGTAAATTGATGTGACAAACCACAAGCCCATTAAGACTGAAGTGGTTACTTGAAGGAACTGAAAGAAGCAAAGCGAAGAAGAGAAGAGTGACGACAAAAAAAAGAGTATTCAGGCGAAAAGCGTCCAACTATAAATAAACCAAAGCATGCTTCTATAAACGGCATCACGTCGAATTCAAATTGTAAACAATCGAACAAAGGCAAGAGACCTCTTTAGCCGACCGTCGCCTTCGTCGTCGTCATCATAGTCGTTGTCGTTTTCTTTAGTGATCCATTTCATGCAATCGCCAAAATGTACACACACTCATTCGCTAATTCCACATACCATAAAACTTATTTCGATGGAAAATTTCAGTTGCTCGAGTGGGGAGTCATTCGATGTTATGTTTTTTTTTTCTCTCTTCTTACAGCTTTGCCAAAGATCTACTCCATAGTAATGACTCAACATAGGAGAAAATATTTAAAAAAAAAAAAAGCTCTCATCAAAGGCAGCAGAAAAAACCGCAAAAATTAACATTTATAATCCTATTCCACATGATTGAAATTATTCCGGAATGCCCAGAACATGTTCTCGAAATGCGAAAGAGAATCTAGTGTGACGGACACAGAACATGAAACTGGTGCGGAACAAAGATGAAACAAAAAATATGTAAATTTTCTGTTTCTTTTGGTGTCGTTGTGTAGAATCCATTTGAATGCTATTAAATACGGGCGTTTTTTTTTTCAGGTCGAGTCAAAAAATTTGTTCACCGTAGAATGACTTTGCCAAAAACATACACGCTAAACTCTGTCCAGGTTGACAAACTTTGAATAATAAATAGAAAGATACAAAAATATCCAAGCAGAAGACTAAAAGCTAACCTGCCGTAAGCATTATTTATTGCGTATCACCATTAGAACATTAACGAACACGAAAGATCTCGTGATGAATGGAAGGCATTTGAAAATGATCGCTGTTTCGCTCTTTTTTTGGTCTCTTGTGCTCTCTCTCTCTCTCTCTCTCTCTCTCTCTCTCTTATCTCGATTAGATCTCGTTTTCGGAGCACCGATGCTTACACAGCGCGTCGAATGTGTGTGTATTTTTTGAAGCATTTTTAGGTGTTTATTGGCAGTAAACAATAAAGTCTTCATTAAAAATTTAACTCTTTTCTTTATGAACTGATTGCGTTTCGTCGAAATTCCAGAATAGAAAAAAAATGTACTTTTATGACGTTTTTTATACCAGCTTTATGACGGTTTTCGGCAATTCTTTGACGAAATTGGGATATTTTTATGACAATTTTCGGAAAAATTCCAGTAAAATTGATTAGGTATTTTGATAATGACGATAATTTTTACTTCAATTTTTCGTATATTTTATGATGTTTTTTTTTATTTATCCAGAAAAAACGTCGAAGCAAAAAAATTGGCACGTTTCTGGGGAATCTAAAATAAAACGAGAAATTCATTCTATTGTCGTGTGTATGGTGTTCAGAACAGCAATAGAATTTTCCATGCTTGTTTCAGCATGCCTTCAATCATTATGCAAAAATCAATTAGATGCTATCTATCATTTGCGGGGCTATTTCTCAGTGTGTTTCATTAAAACATCATCACTGCAAATTGAGCGATGGAGTTGAATCGCAATCTATTTTATTTTTTCTCTTCTCTAAATTGAACTTACCGCCTCCGACACCGTCCGTTTGATTTTGTTCATTAGTCGCCCCATGGCGCCAGATGTTACTGGAAACTTGTTCTCTCTTCCGCTCATTTTAAGTTACTATAATAAATATATATCTTAATATCTGTAAATAGAGAGAGAAAAAAAGAAAAGGACAATGAAAATGATATTAAATGTAACAATTGTAAAATGTTCTAAAGCTAATTAATATCTAGTTGTGTTCTCCACATTGGTCAATGTGTCGATAAAACACATAAAAAGAAATAAATGGTTAAATTTTGATTTGTGCGATTGGGCGGCGGGTCGACAATTCAAGACTTGTGTGAGCTTGAGCGAAATGAGTTTTCGATAAGTTATTGATAGGCGCACATCCCGAAGGGGATCCGGAATATTGCTCTTCATACTTGAAATGTTCTAAACTGAATCGTTGTGATTATTGTAATTATTTCAATGAATATTTTATTGAATTTGATTGATTGTTCATTGGACGTTAGTTTGTGTATAAAGCGCTCTGTTCACGGGGCTCGAGCGATTGTGTCAATATCGAGGAGGACAACGTTTCGCGCATTTGAAATCTTGCCTGTCATAAAAGAAAAAAAAAACCTAATGTGACACAGAAGAGAAACGATGAGGAGAAGAGCAACAGGAAAAAAAACAGCATGCAAATTCATATGGGGAACCAGAAATCGGCATACAGAAACATTTACAAAACTGGTTCGTATGTAGCAGAGAACTGACCTAACTCATGCAATCGATTGCTCAGCTTTCGATTTCTCATCTGTTCGGCGCAGCAACACGACGGAATGAGTACAACCTTTGTTCGATTTACTTAGTCTCTTCCAATGTGTGGGCTAGCCGCACAGATTTTGGTGCTAATTTTTTGACCAACTTACACACGCCAAACAAGTCAAACAACAATTTGTCTCTTTCTGTGGTTGGCACAATCATATGTGCGCGAATTTCAAAGTATATTTGCTCGTGAATGCAAAAAGGATATGCCATGTGCGTATTTGCGATAACAAATGTGATACTATGGAATTATTTGGCGTAAGAAGCAGGAGAAAAATGAGCAAATGAATGAATGAAACGGTTGTACGCGAAAAGGAGAGAGAGAGAAAAGGACAGAAAGATTAGATAAATTTTTTTCCGTTCATCGTGGTCTTTATCTTGCTGGCTTTAACCCAAACCCACCTCAATATAAAAATTGTGTTCTCACTCTAGCCGCATGTCTCGTTGAAATGCTCGTTTGCGCATTTTCATGAATCATGGACTCGTTCGGCTCGATTTTTTGTTCGGTTCATGCAAGCAAGTGAGAGAGAGAATGCAATGATTTGGCAACAAAATGGGTCAATTTCACTTTTTTCGCTTCAATTTGTTATTCTTTTTTTCTGTTGGCGTCTATTATAAAGATGAAAAATCACTGCATTGAATCCGAAAAGCGGCCAGAATTTTCGAAATGGTCGATATCGAATGTCACCCATGTTCCGATTCCAAATCGCATTTGAAAAAGAAAAGACTGAATTTTGGCATATTTGCAATTTTGACCCTTTCGTTGCATCGCAGCGCCATTTTACATTTCTTATGGAGATCTAGGTGGCGCTGCAGATAGTTAGGTTGAAAAATTGCAATAAGTCCAATACCACACGATATTACACGACAGTTCATTTTTGTATATCGATATATGATTGCTTGCTATCAGTAACAGTTTGTTTGTCGCGTTTGTTCACGCTCATTTTAGCCAAAATTACACTTTTTTGCCCATTTCACCCACTGCGAAATGATAACGAAACTCATAATATTATTGCAAAATAAATGAATTAACGAATTTGAGCACGACGCCGTTCTCTATCTCACTAATAATCCTCCATGCCATGCGTATCATTCCACTTCAATAAAAGTTCCATTCCAGTGAATTGAATAAAATTGACGCCAAATTGACAGTCGCCGCATTTAAAATGTTTTTAATTTTTGTGCGAGAGAGCATTTGAATCGGAAACGCTTCTCGTGACATTGCCAAATTTGAAAGTGTCAAAGTGAATGAAATCTTCGATGAAATATAAAAAAGTCGTTGGTTCGTGTTTGATCTTTGACGGTTGGCTCAATTAAGGAAAGGTGAAACATGGATAGATGTGAAAACGAACACCGAAAATGTTTCGCATCATCTCACGTGAAGGTTTCTAATTGCTTCCTGCTGTTCATTATTCGAACAGTATTTACTCTTCGTTATTATTTTTTTTTAAATGTCAACAGTTTTGGGTTGGTACATTAACAATAATCTTCTTTCAATGGTTACGGGCCATTCGTGATAATTTACTGAATTTATCGGAACAAAACCAAATGGAACAGAACAATTGAACAATTGTCACATACACACACACACACACAATCACACTAAAAATAAGATCACTTACATAGAAATAAAAATTAAATTATTCGAAATGTGTAAAATGCGAGCGAATCTCGTTCACTTCAATTTCAATGCTATGCACTTTACTTGGGCCGCTGTGAAAGAGAGTGCGCGTTCGTTCGCTGAGACTCTTCATTCAATACTTGGCTATTAAAAATAGGAATTGTGACTTTCGGCATGTTCTAAATATTAGCCATGTTTATTTTTATCTTGATGTGTCTCTTTGTGAGCGCGCGAGACGAGCAAGAGCACATTTTTCATACATATATACATTATTTATTCGTGCACAATCACAAGTATTATTTTGATGAAGATCGCGCGCCAACTCACGATCAACACAGTACGCTCCGTCATCGAGTTCAATCAATTTGTGTGAATTGCGTGCAGTGCTTTAAAGGAATGACAAATGAAAACTATTCCAACTATTTTAACTTTGTGAACGAGATAAAAAAATATCAATTAAGTGCAAACAATTTGTTTCGCAAATGATTTGCGAATCGGATTATTCGCGACGCACACGAACAACATCGCACGATGTCACCAAAGTGTGTGTGCGTGTGTGTGAGACGAGTGACAATGGACACAACAAACCAACCATTTTTGTGGTCACAATATATTATTTATATTTTTTGATTGCATCAATGTTGAGGTTGTTGATTGCTGTTTGTGTGTGTGCAATGTGCACAGCTACGTGTGCGACATGTGCACCGTGTTATACGGTGCCGCATGCTTAAAATGCATTTCATTCAGTTTTTTTTGTTGTTTTATTTTACATTTTATTCTTTCAAGCCTGTGCAGTTTTTCGTGTTCTTTTTGGCTTTGCACAAATATTGTCACGCTTATGTACGAACCAATGTTGGGCGACGCGGGAGATTTTTGTTTATTTTATTCATTTTATTTTTTCGTGCGCCATTTGATTAGGGGCTCGTCTATGGCTATGAAAAACCATGCATCTATATATACACGTTATTATGGAGCAAATACTTAGTCATGTCAGAAACAATGACAAGAAGATTCGTATACTTCGGTGTCTTGTTTCTGTGTGCATTCATTTTTTCGTCTTCATTGTTCGCAAAGTAACTGAAACACGTATTACCGAACGCGCCTCTCAATGCATGCGATTTGTCGTTATTATTTCAAGTACGTGCATATAAACTATATTTCCGCCACGTGCATTATATAATTGAAGAAAGCTTTAATTGTCCAACTCTATGCTCTAGTTTTGGTTTTCGGTTTTTTTTTCCCTTTTATCGTTATTTTATTTTTGCATTTTTTTTTTTGTTTTGTTTCGGTGTGACACTTTTTCTGGAAACGCTTCGACAATAATTAATTGTGACACACGTTTAATGTGTACATTCGAAGAAGAAATCGTTTAATGTCGAGAGCAAGAAAAAAAAAGAGGCGCGAACCTTCAAGTCAATCGACTAAATGAATGGTTTGCATATCGCAACCCTTTTTTGTCATCTATTGAAACGAAATGACACTTTGAGCTGGAATAATACGTATTTCCATATATTGTCGTCGGCCAGTTGACACATCAGCCTACATAGTTAACCTACTCCCCCCGCAACTCAAAGTGACTACGATGACGATACATCACACATTTGAAATAAATTAAATTAAAACAATTCAAACGTATTCAAATTTTTCTCACTTACACAAAACGAATGCTAATCAAATTGAAAAGAAAAATTTTTCGCGCGCCTCTTTGCAACTATGCCACTAATTATTGATAATTTCTATGCATTCAGATCTAAATTAGATGCTAACACATATTCCGGAAAATTAATGCACTGCACATGCATCGATGCTATTTGCAAGAAGAGAGAGAGAGAGAGAAAAAGATGCTCCGACTTACACTTACTTTCTGCTGAGTATCAACCAGTGACCAGAAAGCAAACGAGAGAAGAACAACAAAAATCGATCGTAATCTCAACTCGGAGATAACAATTCAAGCGAGATTCGTAATTGAAATTTCAGTATTTACTCTCTACGATCAAATATTTGCGAACGTGAATCTGAATCAGATGATCAAAATCAGAATTTCACCTAATTTTGTGAATATTGGCTGGAAGAGAGACAGAGAGAAGAAAAGAGCAGAAGAAAAACAAACACAAACAATTGAACGGAGCAACATGGTTTTAAGACGATTTGTAATAAAACAAACTGAATGGTGTAATATTTGAGCTTCATAGCATTTCGCCGCAATATTTTCCAATCAAACGGTAAATTACTGGTTGGAATATTATTGCACATTAAAAAGCGCCATTTGTCACGTGAATTGGTTGGGAAAAATTAGCAATCGACATGGAATTATATTGTGAGTGATTCATTTAAACACCCATTTGTTAATGAGGAAAATGAGATTTAATTTGAAGAAAGAACTATCAGTGTGATAGTCTCAGCATCAAGAGAGTAATGAATACATTGAATGTGAATTGCAACACCATTTCCCTCCCATCGAAATGGAAATCACCTGATCGGCCGATGGCCTGATCGCCTGATCGTCATGCGTATAAATAAAATTTAGTTCAATCACTCGATGTAAGCAGTTTTTTTTTTCCTTGTCATAATAATGCACCAATTTTTCAGTCCATCGTTTTGCAGGTGAATTATTCGTTCGCATTATACCGAAATCAACCGGTATTTCTACAGATATACACACAGGCCGCACCACCGCGCTTGTCATCGACAACGAAACAGAGTGTGAACAAGAAATACACAAAAAAAGCGACGCAAGACCTATATGTTAATAACATTTGTCAGCTGATTTTTTCTGATACGTCGTCATCTTTTTCAATGTCCAACGAACTGCTGTTTCGATTTTAAATAAACGTACATGGGCTTTTTCTTTGCATGTATTATAAAATAAAATTTGTGAGAAGAAGTTAAAAAAAAACGGTAAAAATTCGTGTTGATTTTTCGCACGATAACGTTCATTCACGTAACACACATCGCAAAATGATCAATCAAAATCAATAATAAGTTGATCGAAACGACGATCATACATGCTCATGATACTGCTCATCAAAAAAATTCAATCAATACATTTCATGCGATTCACTTGATTATTGATTCGGTTAGTCAATTTAGGGCGAACAATTTGTAGCGTGTGACTTGAAATGATGACGCCAAAAAAAAATGTTTGGACTAAGTAGTTTTATTATTACCGACACTCACAACTGGTCGCATTGTTTAGCATGTGATACGCTGGTCTGTGTCACACACACAGTCTCTCACTCTATCACTCTGCACATTGATGAGCCTTCAATTTGGCTGTTTTAGTCTAATTTGTTGTAGTTGATTGCTTAAATTGACAAGTTTTGCAAACAAAGAAATCGACTCAATTGAAGGTCTTGCTCTCTCTCTCTCTCTCTCTCTCTCTCTCTCTCTCTCTCTATGCATCTTCCAGAATCTGAAGGAGGTGAAGGCGGAAATTCACACAGTCCTGTGTTCAAATCAAAATATGAATACTCACTATCGACAGCAATTTAATTAGATTTCGAGCCGAAGTTGTCGAACTAAATCTTGAATGAAACGAAATATGAAAGTCTGGATGTGTCACCTCATTTCTTCTTATTTTATTGAATATTTTAAGTTAAAATTCTGTTGAATTAGTACCATTATGTAAGATTATGAATGATACGATTGAAACGAAAGAGGGAGAGAGAGAGAGAGCGAGAGCGTGAGAGACAATCGATTGAATCTTTCCAAGCAACAGTGTAATATCGTTGAACTGCTCATTTCAAATGCGGCGGACATTCAATCGTGACGTTGAATATTTTACGGTCACAGCATCTAGCTGACGAAATACACGCGAATTTGCGGCACGAATCAATCATAAAAAAAATTTGCGAGTGGAAGATTTTTTCTCTGCACCGTTGCTATATTCAATGAAACAGTCTTCTGTGTACTAGTATCTTAAATACACACAGGTGTAAGCGCAAAATGTGAATGTGCTCTAGCCAACGTCACAATGAGTTCATTTTTGTATGTTTTTTTTTCTCTCTATTCGCTCTTCGTTTATAATTGATGGCTTCTGGTTCATGGTTTGTGCAAATTTTTTTTGTGTTCGTTTCTTGCGAATTACCTTCTATTTGCACGCGCGCAATTTTGATGTTTGCGCGCAATTATCATACACATCAACCAGTGTAATCAATGTAGGATTTTTTTTTAAATTCTGGTTACGATTTGATTTGTGCGTTGTCTTTCTCTTCCTCTATCGCGGCGAATATCGATTGCCGTGAGCTAAATACATTACGTTTCTACACATGATAACCGTGACCTTGACATGTAGTATGCATCCCTCTGAACAAAATCGAACAACTGAACGCAAAATGCGGCACCTACCTTTTTAAATTGGTGTGTTCCTGTTTCGGTTTCCTTCGGTTTGTGTTGTATGTGTATTTCAACTTATATATCTCTACACGATATTGTCTGTCTCTCTCCTGTTCAATCCTTTTATTTCTGTTGCTGGTGCTGGTACTGCTGCTGCTACCGCCGCTGCCGTCGTTGTCGTCGTTTATTTTTCTCTCTTACTCAAACAATCTATCACCGTTTTATTTGCTCTTCGTCGCTTCTTTGAAAATTATTTTCGTTCACGAATATCACTATGATTTTTGTGTGGTGGTTTATATGGTTATTTTTAGTCGTTTAAGTGTGTCTCGTTCTTCTTTTTTTCTTGTAGTTGTTGTTATTCATCGTTTGTGTTGCTGGTGCAGCACGCTGAAGCGTTTTTTCCCTTAAAATTGACTTAGGCTTTGGTGTATTACTTTGTTGTTATTCGGTTTCTTCTTTTTTCAATATGCCACGAGAGTATATATATACTAAGTGTCTTTCTCTTTATCTCATCTCTTTTTTTTATTCTCTTGTTTGATTATATGTTTCAGTTCTATTCACACTCGGTATCGGTTCGTTCTATTCGTTCATACGTGAAACCGAATGATGATCATTCAATTTTTATTTTCTCTCTTCGGTTCAACGGTTAGATAATCGATAAAACAAATTGAATGTCAAACTAAGCGGTAATTCAATCGATGCGTATTTAAAAATGAATTTTTTATGGTATTATCCTTATGTTGATTGCTTCGTTGTTGGACCGTCGTCATCGTAATTACTACACTCACTCACTCTCTGGTTTTCTCTCTTCGCTGTGCTACTAGTCGGTCGTCTAGTTTAACGCATTGGTTCAGCCGGATTTTTTTTTTGCGCTGCTACCGCGCTGCTGTTTCGTTCGTTTGTTTCTTGTTGAACCTGATACGATACTTATCTCTCCCGACTCGTTGGCATTTACTTGTTTCGGCTGTTCAATTCGGTTGAATGTATTTGTTTTTTTTTGCATACATTCGTCATCAGTCATCACCGTAATTTTCAGCGTATTTGTGGCAATGCTTCTCAAATCCTTCACTCAACATTGAAATAGGTCCAGGTGCTCACCAGATGATATGAAATCGCTTCCGGTTGACTGGATCACCGATTCATAGCAGAAAGCGCTAAATCGCCCAACACAGTCAGTCAGTCGCATATTCGTAAACAGACCGGCCCAAAAAAAACCGCAACGAACAATCGAGAAAAAAAGAGAGAGAAATGATCGGATTAGCTAATTAAATAGGGAATGGTTCGATGCGCAATCGCACGACACACACACAGAGAGAGAGAGAGAGACACACACACACCAATGTACCATCAAAATTGCCTCACTAATTGCACGTACACAAAACAAACATAAAAGAAAAGCAATGAAAAAAAACGCGTCGCGTCGCGTCGCTCTATACGCGTAAAGTTGGAGATGGTGCGAAAAAGAATTTCGCTTTTTAACTAATCGATTGAGTCATGTTCGCGAAATGTTTAGAAATGTCGAGCCGCTTACCTCTATGGTAAATACTTTCCGAAAAATCCGAAACACATTCAAAACACTGTGTACGATATAGATATAAAAACAAATAACTAACTATTCAAAATAAATCGAACAAACAGAGGAAAAAAAATGACTGTGAAGTGTCTATCTATATTAAGTGTTATGTCTATAGACTATATATATATTGTAGCTATATTATACTGTGTGGTAGCCGCGTTTCTTGCTCATTGTTTCGAATTCGCAATTGAACAGGCACAAAAAACCATGCTAGAAAGCAACGTTCGGGAGAGAGACAGAGAGAGAGAGAAATCGCTACATATCTTTGCCGAACCGTGAGGCCACCTCTCTCATTTGTGAGTCAAGTTGACGCAACTGATCGGAATCGATGCGATCGCTTTTCAACTGAATTGGATTACACTAAACACTCGATGGTGTTTCTTTTTTCGTTACTCGTTGCTTCGAGCTATTTCATAATATTCACTTCTTCTTACTTTCCAAATGACTAATTTACTTGTGGTTTAGTAACAATTCTTAGACATTGATTTGTTTCAATGATGGTAATCGGATTGTTATCGTTTATGGCGTTTACCAATAGTTTGGAATTACCGGGTAATTACGAGACAAAGGTCGGTTATTTTTTGGTTTGTAAGAGTTAGCCTAAGCTTCAAATGTATAAAATCGAATCGAACATGAATATTTAAAACAAAAAACAATCATTCGAACTACTGCGATTATAGCATGCTAAACAAACAACGATAAATGGTATAAACAACAACTAATCCTTGCTACTGCACTTGCGTTAATAACATTTATCGGTTTCTCCGTTTTGTTTGCAGCAAATGTGCGCGTGCGCGCATGTGTGCTTCTTCAAGAATTCTTTGGCACAGAACATTTTCACCGTTTGAATACACAGCAACCGAAACAAAAACAATAACAAACACTTGGTCGCATTATCTAATGATCGTTCGATCCTGCGAAGTTAAAAATGTACGATCTGTTCAATGGCACATACACCAAAAGTGTGTATGCTTATAAAGGAATTCAATGATTCGCGTATTCTCTTCTCTCTCTCTCTCACTCGCTGTCGTCACCGACATGTGCCTTTTTCTCGGCAAATTCTTTTCTTTACTTTCTATGCGTCTCCACTTCAATTTGTTCTTTTTTTTTTATTTTTATCTTTTGTTTGACTCATTCGTGCTGATTTTTTTTTTTTAATTTCTTACTCGGCAGTCATTGTTTTGGTTATTAAAATTATAAATTTGATTTCAGAAGACAACGAAAAAAAAATGCTCAACAATTTTTGTGTTCATTAAAATTCGAATGAGTCTCGCAAGTATTTTACTATTTTTTGTTTCTGTTGGCAATGTGTTCTGCGTGGTGCATTATATTTTTAACGTGTGCTTTTGGCATACAATCAAACGCGATCAATGTGCGTTGCTTACATTTTTTTTTTTGCTTTGATTTGCTTGTGATTTTCTGTATGGCGTAGAAAATCGACCAAACTTCGTTGGGGCAAACAAAAAAACGAGGAAAAACAACGTTCGTTCGTCAAATTGTTTTTCGATACGTTGTTTTACCCTCTGCTCAAACAAAAAAAAATTCGCCAATGATAATTTTTCGGGTGATGTAACGATGTAAACTATGTCACTATTTAGAACTTGATCGAAAGTTAACTGTTGAAATTGATTGATTTTGATATATTTATTTTTGACTTTAAACCAAACGAATTTGATCAACAACAAAAATTTATTGTAATAAAACCGCTTTTATTTTCGTTTTTTTTTGTGTGGAAAAAATACACAAACAGAGAGCGTGCACTGTAAGTTTTTCTCATTTGATATTATCTACAAAACTGAAGTGTACATATCAAATGGTTCTGGTATATATAGGTTGGGGTATCGTCGTGCCGGTTCGGTGTGTACTTCAGCAAGTCGCTGAATTAGGCTGTCCGCACAAACAACATGTCTTTTGCGATCGCATCGACGAATCATTATGGAATCATCAAAGCCATGAATGAACCGAATGTGAATTTAATTAAAAACGCAATAAATCTTGGTTTATGACGACAATGACATTACCAGAAAATATTCAATGTAAAATGAAATGGGCGAATATCGATTAATTTGTTGGAATTTCAACTGAATCTTTTTATCAATGTGACGCATATCCAAACGCACATCCAAGCGCATACCCTACTAACTTTGTATCAAAGTTCGAGTGAATTTTTCTTGCTTCAAAACAAAATCAAAGCTTTTCTATCATGTTTTGTCGAACATCCATGAAGCGAGTAGGTATTGAGGCAATTCATGGCCAGCCTATTTCTCGCGTACACAATGTGTGTATTTAAATCGTAGTATGTTGTGTTTTTTTTCCGTTGCTTGTGTTTAGTTCATTCTCTTCTTTTTCTCCGCTCTTCTTTTCGTTGACGATTATTTTCGGTGGTCGTTTTTTTTCGTCGTTGTATCGTTGCTTATATGTGTTAATGCGTTGTGTTTTTTTCTCTCTCGTTGGGTTATTTTATTTTGCTTTCATTTTATTCCGAAAAACGATGCTCGGATTGGGAGCGTTTGACGTATTTTCTATAGATATTTAAATCTATCCTTGTCTATCAGATCGTATTTTTGTGTATGTGTGTCGTACACGAACGGGGAACGGTTTGCTGTGTGTCAAGTCGATAAATACGAATGTGTATTTATTTTATACATGTGTAGTAAATTTGAAGTTAGTTGGGCAGTCTGAGGAGACAGCTTCATGTGTGTGATACATATGCGGTATTTATATTTTTTGTATTCGTCGAATACACACATTTTGCGATGCGAAATCGCGACTCGCATACACACACAAAACATCATCGTCACTCACAATATATATATCCGAGCACCACAATTACAGCTAAATGCTGTTTTTTTTTCATAGCCCGTTTTCCTTTTCATTCTCACTCCGTGTGTCTCTGACTGATTGATTTGCTCGCGGTGCGCGCGCTTTGTGCGAGTGAAACGAAAAATTTGTGTGTGTGCCCGAAGAACAAGTGTTAAGAATTGTCGTGTTGCATTGCATCTCTCGGAATTGAATGCAATGTGTAATGCAATTGATAGAACATACATCTCAGATGTTGAGGCGATATCATATGTTGCGCCGTTGCCGACATACCATTTTACAATATATTCAATCAATATTGGCACAACGCGCGTTCGCGGCAGCCTGAAGGACATTGGGAGTCAATCAACAGGTAATCAACGGCCCGGCCCAATCGCGCACATGCATTACACAACGGCACATACGGCAAATGGAATGGCGTTAACTGTTGATTCCATGAAATGCATTTGATTTACATTTTAAATGATCGTCGTCGATCAATTTAACACTATGATTGTTCTTGGGGCACCCAGGGCCCCCAGCGAACTTTAAAGTTGAATAAAAGTACTAAACAGTGTATAAACCAACCGGAGTTAAGTCTCATTGTATAGATTGAACATTTCTCTACACGAATGAAAAAAAAAACATATGCATATGTGTGAGTATGTGTAAAATACAGCCTGCCGCAAAACATGTTACGCTGTTGTTCTTGGGGGACCACAGGGCCCCATGGCTATTTTATATTATAGCTGGACTATGATAAGAGATATCGACTTGGTGTCTATGACGAAGTTGTAGTACTCAAGCTGCTCTACAACTTCGCCGTAGACATCAAGTCGTTATCTCTTATCAGTTACGCGAAAAGCCGCGAAAACGTGAAAAACGCGAATTCATAGTTTCTCACTTTTCAAGGAACTGATAAGAGATAACGAGGTGGTGTCTATGGCAAAGTTGTAGCTCTGGTCGAGTACTACAACTTTACTACGACACCAAGTCGTTATCTCTTATCAGTTACGCGAAAAAATGATAAGAAAAAAATCGCGTTTTTCACGGTTTTCTGCGGTTTTTCGCGTATTCCGCAAAACTGATAAGAGATAGCGAAATAGTGTCTATGGCAAAGTTGTAGTTCTGGTCAAGTACTACAACTTTACTACGACACCAAGTTGTTATCTCTTATCAGTTACGCGAAAAAATGATAAGAAAAAATTCGCGTTTTTCACGGTTTTCGCGGCTTTTCGCGTGAATGATAAGAGATAACGACTTGGAGTCTATAGCGAAGTTGTAGCACTTAAGCTGCTTTACAACTTTGGTAAAGACACCATCTCGTTATCTCTTATCGGTTTGGAGGAATACGCGAGAAACCGCAGAACACCGTGAAAAACGCGAATGTTTTCTTATCATTTTTTCGCGTAACTGATACGAGATAACGACTTAAGGTCTGTGGCAAATCATAGTACTCGACCAGAGCTATAACTTTGCCATAGACATCATCTCGTTATCTCTTATCAGTTCCGTGAAAAATGATAAGAAAAAAACGCGTTTTTTCGCGGTTTTCAGCGGTTTCTCGCGTATTCCGCGAAACTGATAAGAGATAACCAGATGGTTTTCGGCAAAGTTGTAGAGCAGCTTGAGTACAACAACTTCGCCATAGACATCAAGTCGTTATCTCTTATCAGTTACGCGGAAACCGCGAAAACCGCGAATTTTTTCTTATCATTTTTTCGCATAACTGATAAGAGATAACGACTTGGTGTCTGTGGCAAAGTTGTAGTATTCGAC